TGTAGTTGTTCATAATACTTAATCACATCTGTCATAAGACTCTATCTGGCATTATAATTATCTGCAGCACTCCACAAACCATATTAAAAATATGTATGTATGTAAAATATAATCCGGGAATCTAAGAAGCAGACAATACGTGTGGTTACAATGTAACTACTGACCTCTGCAAAAAACGATCCTCAGAAATAATAAATCCAAGTTATTCCAGTGGAAGTGATCAATTTTCTCAACAATTTCCCCGTCATCTCGAATCTTTTCAGAGAGCACAAAACATTTAGTCAATTCAGCGCACTGGAGTCGGGCCATAATAATAGAGCCTATTGGCGGGGAAGGACAGTCATCGCAAACATAAGCCATTAGCGTATTGTGCGACTTCTTTCAATGGTGCTCCTTATTTTCTCGAGTTTTTTGTTAAATTCGTATAACCTACGAGAAATACTGTACAGCTGAAATGACAACAATGGATACGTACTCTTTTTTACAAGAAATGGCCCTTTTTTCGTTTATTTCGCTTACAACCAATTTTTGTTAAATTAATATCACTAGTCGAGAGGTCAAAAGTATAAGGAATTATTTATCCGATGTTAGTAAGAGTTAAATTTGGTTTATATTTTACGAATACTTTCAAATGGATTTTCCATACACATTAAAGAAATAATGTAATAATGTTAATGTTAAAACTATATGAAAAAATATTGCGATTGTGTTTAAATAAAAAAGTAAATGTAGAAAGTAGAAACTAAGAATAAGAATAAGAATAGAATATAATATTGGCTGGTGAAATGGAATCGTCATAAATTAAATAATAAAATATACTGCAACCTTAAGAGTAAGGCCTTTGCTCTTCAGGTTTCGATATTTTTATTAAACAAGAGTAATATAAGTTCACAACTTTACAGTCGTACATAGATATATGTCCAGTGAAACAATTATACAAATCTAACCACAACACATACGTTTTTTAACAAACAAGGTGAGAGATGTAACCGCAAGCTCGGTAGCGGGTCGCGTGCAAACGACAGACGATAGCCGAGCGGATCCGGCCATTCAGCTCGGAACAAAGCGCTCCTGATCTAATCAACGCAACAATACACCTCGGATTCACAATTTAGCTGCGAAACAAGCCGCTCTCCACTCGTGCCGACACGCCCAATATTTTAAATTACGAACAATATTACACGGCTCGGAAACAAACGAGTCCATTGTAGGCCGTGTGCGCCCGACAGCCGGCTCAGATAACGTGCGACCTCCCCGACCAGCCCGGCACCCGGAATGAACCTCGCGCACAACAATTAAAACGTTCATCTTGGCCACGTTCAGCAAAGGACGAGGAAATTAACAAACATTGCTTTTGATATATGTTTTAATCAGATATTTAAATCACATACCTACATCAAAATAAATTTGCAAAAAGAAACAATAATGTTTAGCGAGACACGTTTTTATTAAAAGTCCTAACTTATCTGGATACCGTCGACGTAACACCTGGCGCCGTGGAACATGCAAATTGTGACACTTAACGTGGGCGACCAGAAAGCGACACGAAATTGCTCGTGTTACTGGAGCGAGAGACATTACGCGGATAATTTGGCACTGATGGCTTAATCACAGGCTCACGGGATAGACAATTGACCCTCTTTCCGCCCTGAAATATTGCCAGGGAAACGTTACGGCGTTACGGTGTCGCCGAGGCGGAAAGCTACTACAGCCGGTGGCGCGCGCCGGAACAGCGAAAATAATGTTTGCTGCTGTTCCGGGGTAAAAATTGGGTTCCTCCCAGTTTAAGAATTATGTCGTTATCTTTTTAACATGAATACTATAACTAATTTCATAGATTTAACTACCAAATTCTACATAATTTGAAACACGTAAAAACTGGAGAACAACATATGGAATATGTATTAATAGAAGTTGACTTAATTTTAAAAATGTGGAGAAGAGAACTAGTGCAATATGAGCAAAAATAATGTTTAATTCGAAATTGAATTCCTTATATCAATCGAATAGAAAGTAGCCCCTTAACAATGACGGAAGGAATAGAGGTACATCTTATTTATTCGCTTCGATAGCTTTGATCTTCGACCCTTTGAAAAACGTCACTCAAGATTCACAGAATACGCTTAAGTTAATGGTTTTCTGTTTAAGTCTTTCTTATTGTACGTCTGTGGAATTTACATTTCAAACATTCTTGGAATATTTTTCTTGGTCATATTCGCAGCTTATTGCCGTAATTATTGGAATATTTTTAAAGTAATGTTTTATTCAATTACAGATTTCTTTCATTGTAAGCACCATTCGTTTACTTTTAGTTTGTTTATCTGTCTCTAAGAAATTACTATCGGATACACCTAAAAGGTCATCCTGAAGTGCAATTCGTCGTCTTCTACACGGATATTTATATTGATATCTTATGTATATGTAAATGTTATATTAAGTTTTCATAATTCTCTAAAGAAGTAACAAACTCGCCGCATGTATCATGATATTAAGACGAGTTAATTATAAACACGTAATACAGAGAAGGAACGCGACGGCTCCAGAGTTATCTGATAAATAATTAACAAAAAGTGAAAGCCGTCGCCTCAACATTCAGGTAACTAATTAATTTACTGTCAACTGATTGCTTTGAGTGTACATCATCAATTGTAAATTACTACGGCAAAGCAAAATACGTAAGAAAATTCAATAGCAAAAGCTCGATAATTAGGCACAAAATGATTACCTAATTAATTAATTTATGATTAATCAATGAGAGGACTGAGAACTTCATAAGAAAGTGAACATTTTAATGTCATTAATATTACCGCTAACTCCCGCATTAGGAGCTAAAGGACCGCTAAGTGACCACCCAACTATTCTGTAGTGTCAATTTTGTTAGACGAGCTTACCATAGGGGTCATAAAAATAATAATGCAATGCATGAGAGAGTTACATATTAAAGACAGCAAAATCAAATACATTCGTCGTGCTACAAGGGGGAGTGTGCAACGAGCGTGCAATACAAAGCACGTACTTGTATGAACAAAGCTCGGCTGATTTAATCAACGTGTCAATACATCGCCCTCCGATGTGATTATAGCATGGGAATTAATATTCACAGCCAGTCCTATCTTATATCAAACTTATGTAAACTCTCACGTCTCAAGTAAAATACACAGAAACAACATTCGATCGAATGTGTTCATCCAGACTATCTTCTAAACCTGTGCCAAATTTCATGGAGATCCGTTCAGCCGTTTAGGCTACAAACGCTAACATCTATCCATTCATCGTAACTATCACATTTATAATATTAGTAAGTAAGATTGCCTTCTAAATATTTTAAATAATATTCCTTTACAAAGTCGAAAAATAAAAGAACCAATTATCGCCACAAACTTCTCAGCATTATATTTCCGTGGTGGAGTTGTGTGTGTTGAGTTGTAAAATGTTATTTTATGATCCAATCTTTAACTGTGCGATATTCGATTTGACATTGTAGTCAGGATCAAAGACGGTACTTTATAAAAATTTTAATAGCCCATCGTCGACACTAAACAGTCGACAGTTTCCTGTCCAGTTGTGATTTCAATTTTCGTAACACTTGTATAAAACATTGGCATCCCATTCATTCCTTTCAGAAAAACAGAGATAGCAATGTTAACAAGTGTAACTGGCAATGGAATTTCACGGTAACGTTGAGATGTCTCGTCATACATGATTTCGAATGACGAATACGTGAATCACGTGATTTAAACGTGCACCTATAAAACAAAGGCGTCGAGTTCTAAATTATCTCGTAATCTTGTATTAACGTAAACACTAAACTTATATAACAAATGCATATAGAGAAAATAATATTAATAAAAAGTTTATATTTATTTAAGTGTATTCAATGTAAAATGGGATGTAATTCAACCTTTTTTTCACATTCCCCATAATATGAGTTTAATACACAAGAATTAATTTTTATATACTTTCAATATATTTACATACATATATTGTGTGTAAAATAATAAATATTCTTTACACTGTTTAACTTAGTAACGGTGTAAACAAAGTGTGGACAAAGACCAAACAAAAAAGTTAGTAAATAATACTTTTCTACAACTTATAGACAATCTATTCATTGTTTGTTGTTAAGAGTACATACTATCTTGTTTATTTAGTTTACTGTCTAGTCATTTAGTACACAATATTACTCTCTTTACTTTTGCCATTAGATTTGGTCGAAAGATGGTACGCGCTAAAATTGCACAATTTCATACTGTATTACTAGTTAAGAACTAATGGTGGTCCAAGCTTCATCTGTACTACCAATGTAACTTCCAGCCTACCTTATATTATTACAATGAAGCTACAAATTCCAACAGGTCTAGCAGTAGAGCAAATAAACCTGTTAAGTTACTATATTTAACAATTAACAAGTTTTTTATGTTTCTAAACAAAGCAAATTTCAAAACACTTTTTTGAATTCAGATATCCGTTTATATTTTACCATTGGTTACTTTAAAATAAAATTAGCCAAAACACATTTCTTATCTACCTTACAGATATTTTTGAATTTGGAAGGCATAGAAGCAAACAGTGGAAGGTTATTATCCAACAATGGGTAAAGGCTGTTGATGATACATTTATGTGGGTATGTTTTAAAAAATAAATTGAAACATCAAAAAATAAATATCAATTCAATTAAAAAAGAAACTACGAATTTACGAAAACTATTGTAACATGTTTATGTTAAAAAAAAACCATTTTAAGAAAAAATATTAAAATGACTAAGATCACTGTTTCAATGTAAGTAAGGTACATAATAATAAACTTTGGGGTTATGTTTTACCACCAAAGTAGTTCCGACAAAGTAAAATAAATTTCGAAATATTTTTTTACAAAGTAAGTCATTTGAAAGAATGACGTATAAATAAATAATAGACGTTAAAGTCGCCTAGAATACCGAGCATAGTTAGAACACCAGTTTCATTCAAAACAAAAATAGTAGCAACAAATAGCACTGTTACCTTCTAATGACTCCTCAGATTCGGTTACATCGACGACTTATAAAACAGATCACACTTAAAACACACTTTTTCAACAAACACTTTCACTGTAGTACTTTTAATTTAAATTAGAGTATAATAGTATTATCATTAACTATTCACTGTTTAGCTGCAAAAACATTCCCAAACAAAACTCGACAGGCAGACAGACTCTGTTGTGTTCGTCATCCGCTGATTTTGACTGCGCCACAGATAAAAACTAAATATATTTTCGTGTTTTTGTAGTTTTATTAAGTAATTTTAGTTTTATCGAAATAAGATCTAAGTAAAGCATTCAATAGCGAATAGTTTCATTTTTACCAAAAAAATCTCGCTTTAATCTAATAGTAATGTTTTTGAAGGGTCTTCTTTTGATGTATAACTGACATTTAGAATAATTTTGACATTTAATTATAGGTTAGGTTGTGTTATGTGTATTGGATAAAAGTAAACTTATTTAAAATGAACTTTTCTATAATTAAAAGTGTTTGTAGACATGCCTCTGCTTTATATTACCAATCAAGAAACGTAACATTCGCTGCCTTGTCACTTCCAGCTAGAACTATTCACACCACCCGACCTAACAATGATTTGATGGAATTTTTTGATACTAAGAAAAATTGGAGTGAGACAAATATAAGAGTGGGCAGATCTTGGAAATTGGATGAATTAAGAATAAAGTCGAATGTGGATTTGCATAAACTATGGTACGTACTACTTAAGGAGCGAAATATGCTTTACACTATGGAGCATGAATGTAATGAGCAAACACGATTGTTTCCTAACCCTGAACGAATTGATAAGGTTCAAGAGTCAATGAGTAACATTGAGACAGTTATCAGAGAACGCAATGTTGCATACTATAAGCTAGAAACTGGTGAAACTGGCGAACGGCCAGTAGAAGATGTGATCAACATATTTGGTCTACCAGAAAAATACAATAAACAAGAGTACTATATACCTCAATTTATGAATAGCAGGTGGGTCAGGCCTTACTTAGAACATGGCTATATAAACAGTTTTGCTGTCAAGAAATTTTATAGACTTTATAAAGAAAAACAGTACAATATAGCAAGAAAAGCCCGTAATAGAGACTTCAATCATGTGCAACAATTACTAAAACGTTTCCCAAACATGGATATGGAAAAGTTGAAAGCTGAATATCCAAATGTTGATATAGAAAAAGCTAAGAGAAGTAAAAAAGCAAGAGGGCATTACATGCCTTTGTACTAGCATCATTTATATTAATGTTTTATGATTATTTAATAAAAAATAGAGTCAATGATAATGGTATTTTATTTTTATGCAGATATGTTAAGATGTAATATAATACAGGAAGTGATCTATTACTGAAGTTACAAATGGTTGATTTATTTGAATTATGGTAAATGTTTTGCTTTAGTGAGATAAGGACAGGTTTTTTTAGATAAGCAAAATAACTTTTTCAACAGTCCATGTATCTTAAAATGGGAGTAATAAAATATGAGCATCATAATGTAACTGTTTATATTAATTTGTAACATAAGACACTTAATTAGATAGAAATAAAACAGAAAATTTTCACAAATCTTATGAAAAATTTATTAATGTTGCCAGAAAATCTATTTTCTCAAACACTTTAAAAGTGTTGGGAAGTGTATTATTATTTTTCAGTTTTTGAAACATAATTATAAGTTCTTTCATTAATGTATATATAGAACGATACTGTTTTATGAAAGGTACAGTTACATTATATGTACAAAATTCAGAAGATGGTTCACTCTTATCAATACTGCCTTTAGTTAGACCATCATTTAGGCAATCCAATACATTTTGAACATTTTGTACACTATATGCATCTAGATAAGCATTTAGTGTAATATATAATGCAAACACTACATAATTTTGAGGTATTCCATGAGGGTCTTTTACAAGGTTTGGATTGAATTTGGGATATGGATTGGAACTGTCAGAGACTGGAAGATTTTCTTTATGCATCTTGTGTAATATTTTTGATAAGTAATGTGACATGCTTTTCACTTTTCTTATTTTTAATTTATTGTCTAAAAATATTCCCAAGTCGACATTGCTTGTTGGGTATTTTTCCCATTGTGAATTTCCTAAAAATTCAATCAGAATTTCTATAATGTTTTCTTTTGCTGTAGGTATTGTTGACTGTAAATGTATAGTCCCGAGAATATTTTGCATGTAAGTTGGTTGTACATTTTGTAGTATTTTGAGTACTGAGTCATGAGGAAGTCCTGAAATGTAAGTAAACAGCTTTATATTATAATTAAATAATATTATAAGTGTGTTAAGGTTCTATATACAGTATTTATTACTTTTTTGTAAATATCACACATAGTAAATATTTTTCACTCCTTATAAAATAGCATAGCAATATCTGACTATGTTAAATGTCTATTAAAATCATGAAGGATAGATGGTCCATAAAAAATATATTCAAATGAGTATAGAACTTACCTGAAATAATTTTATAAAACTCCTTTGCAAATGCATTGCAATATTTGCCAGTATTAGGATAGTCACTATTTGAATTATTTTCGCAAATGTAAAAAGTTTGTATGATTGAATTAAGCCACATCTAAAATAAAATAATAATTGAAAATTGTAATACCAATTAATTAATTAACATTTAAAAACGTTAAAATACTAACAGTCATAATCCTTATGTGTTCTTCGGGATATGAAAGGTGTACCATATAAGAAAATATCCTTAAGATTTGTCTACAATTATTATTCACAGCTCCAGTGAATAAAATATTGTCAGACCATAAAACAAAAGCCATTAGTGGTCTGTGTGATCTCATTATGTGACACCCTGTGTTATTACTGTACCTAGAATTAATAAAAAAAAATTATCATTGATAAGAATCTTCTACATACAAAGACAGATTTTTAATTTCAATAAACAAAAAATCTAATTAGAAGTTGCCACTAACTTATTAATTTAACAAATGATGTTTATGTATTACTATATTTCCTTACCTAGAATGCCATATTACTAAATCAAGCTGCAACAATTCGATAATACTTTCTAATACAGCCATGAGTCTATTAATTCTGTCTTGTCTATTCAAAGTTTCATATAATTCAAGTTTTTGTTTTTGCCAATGTAAGCCTTTAACACTGTCTTTCATTTCTTCGGGAGTTATTTCATATTCATTTATCAAAGGTTCATCAATACTCTCTGAACTTAGTTCATATTCCAATCTATTCATGCAATATTTAACAATTCCTTTATTATATTCATATTTATCTCTATTTGTGAATGTATTCTCTTTTCTATCCATAGAGGATGTTAGGAAATCATTGTAACATTTTCTTATGGTCTTCATTAAGCATGGTGGATGAATACTAAACTGTTGTGAAAGAACATCTTGACATTTTTCTAATAAATATGCCACTGTGTAATCTTCATCTGGATCTTCATGGGCATTCTGAAAAAAAATAGTACAGAGTTAACATCAGATTGATTCAAGGTTTATTGTTAAATAAGAACCATAAACACAGGCTTTGGCAAATGTATGTTGTTTAAATACAAGTAAAAGATTTACCAGCATTATTTCCACAATGTTTTTCAGAATATTTGCTGATAAATATTGATTAGATGTAAGACATATAAAGCAGACTTCTAATGCTTCTGACCATGTGCCCGATTTGATTTCTATTTGAAATGATTCCTCTCCGTATGATGGTATCTGATTTATGTTCGGCTGTAAATTTAAAACATTTTTTTCATGTTATGAATGGAAATGCTTTGATTAATATCAAAATACAGATTATTAGACGAAATTCTGAAGTGGTTAAGTTAAGAATACTTACAGTATTTTTATTATTTTGATGATTGCAATCGCTTCCATTTATACATTGCGGTAGATATACTAACTTAAATCTTTTTCCATAATCGTAATACTCCTTATATGATACTTGTTCACAGGCTTTTACGAAGTTTTTTCTTTTCAATGCTCGTAGTTCTTCTTCCGTCAAACAGTTTTTTGAATTTGATGGCATATTTTGATCCTCAACGTTCTTTTCACTTACAACTTTAAGTTTTCCTTCTTCATTGCCACTTACTTTTGTCTTTTTCCTTTTTGGGCTCATATTAATGTTGAAGTATTTCCAATAATCTTGTACTGTACGAAAACATAACCTTGTTGTTTGTTATGAATTCCACAAAAATTGTTTTGACTGAATTTGAATTTGAAGTTTTGACAGAATTTATTTTTTGAAAGATTTATGGCCTGGCTATTGGGCCTTTAAGCCAGAGAGATAGTTTTGAATTGTGTTACAAGTATAACCAGTTTTAAGATTGTGGCAATTAAAAAATATTTTCAGTTCAGTTCCGACCCTCTCTAGATTTATTCAAGTTTCCAGATTTCTCTATCCCCGTCTGCGGTATATTATCAAATATCAATTCAATAATCGCGAAAGTCAAATGGATAGCTTTAGTTATTTTTACAAAGAGTGCAAATTATTGTAAAATGAAGTTACGATTAAGCGCGGTAAATTCCGTAAGATTAGTTTTATTCAATCAATGTTTATGCATGTAATTACCTTTTCTTCTCAGTTTTTTGACAATATTTACATTATTATTGATATTGGAATATTTATCTGATTAGTTTGGATTTTCTCATTTTTATATATGATACTTGTTATACACTTATTTAAGTGGAATTTTTTAAGTGAAGTTAAAAGTTCGTAGATCAATCTTAGCGATAAGCGATAATGAGGTAAAATTAGATTATTTTCAGTTACGGGAATAAAAAGTACGCGCATTAGATAACGCATTTGCGTGAGAAAGGAACACAAAAAAACGTGCAAAACTTACATGATTTGTATGTAGGCCTTGTTTCAGCCGAAACCTATATCTGAAACCTAGGGGGTTTTTCAGAGACTGGATTTCCATTTGGTACACAACTTTCTCGCTTCATTCATTTTTATACGTTTAAAATCTACTCATACATATATGTACTTAAGTACATATGCTTGTCGTATACAGTTATCAAGAGAATCCAAATTAATCTCCCAAAAATTGACTGCAATTTTTTAAAAACGAAAGTCATTCATACATCATAATAGATTATCATTTTATCCCTCTACATCCATAACTATAACTTTTCATTCTTTTGCAATTCTTTCTTACTTATAACATCTACACGCATGTTGCATTCAATTTTGATATAGAATAATTGATAAACTTTTCAAATATTAACAGCTTATAAGAGTCATGAAATTATTCGATGGTGAAAATGTAAAAATAAGCCCATCTGTACCAATTAAATTTATCGTGTTCATTGAAGTAGTGCCAAATATTGAAAATTATTGTTTCATAGTTTGTACGCAACAGAATTGAATAAGTTCGCAATTGCACCCATACTTTCATGAATAACGGTTGCTATAAAGCCACAATACCCTCGACTCCGACAACAGTCCTCTAGGGAAGCGCGTGCCAACACAATATCCAAAAAAATTCAACGCGATGGCTGCTTATTTTAAGGTACTTTAGCTAACCTTGTGTCGGGGTACCAGTTAAATATTATTAAATATTTGGGCTAAATATTGATTTTTTGAAGTGTTAGCATTACGCGTAAAATACATGGGTATTAAAAATAACAGAAGACAGAAGTGATTTTACATATTCACCGTATCAGAGGTTCTGTTGCAAAGTTTTATCGAAGTTAACATTAGTGTTGCTCTGAGCGTCTAAATCTACACTTAACTGTAGATTCAATCGTCATTAATGATACCCTTAGTAATCACTTAACGTATCAAAGTACGGCTGTAATGTTAAAAAAATCATGAATGGGTTAGAAAAAGATCGATACAATTGTGAAATAATTATTGACATCAAATTTTCATTGCCATTGCTATTGAGTAACTTTCCTCGGTATCAGTTGACCGTGAAGGTCGTCACACTTTTTAGCATCCGCCGTTTGTAAGATAACGTTTTTTTTCCGATCAGTAGACAATTTCTAACCTCCATAGTGACATACTTTTAGTTGGTCAACAATGAAACTTTAGATATAAGGACAGTGAAACAAAGTTAATTTTAATGTTGCATTTTGTTTTAGATATTTGCCGTAGTGGCTCTTGTCTCAAGTGTCTCAACAAACCAAGCGCCTGGTGGTTATTCCTATAACCGATTCAGTGGTCCTGTTAGTGGGCAAATAGTAGAAGTCGAAGTGCCTGCTGCAAAAAATATTGCAGCACAACAACACGCGAGTTACGGCTACGATCATAACGCCGGTCAAATAGATCCTGAAACGGCAAAGTACGCTCGCTTGAAAACTGTCGACTATGTGGTAAGGTTTTTTTTTGTATATTAGTTTTGGTAACATCTTACTTAAAGTTTTACATAACAAGTTAACAAAGTGCTTACTTTGACTGTTATGTTATGGCGTGAATTCTTATTTAAATGCATTAATATTTGAATTACATTACATGTTACGTGTTTAATTTACTTTATAATACTGAGTTTTATCGCATTATTTCATTAATTATATATTTTGCTTATATTCATGTAATACTAGTGTTATTACTTTTTTTTGTGATTATAGGCGAAACCCGATTATCACTATGCGTACGGCGTGGACGATCCCCACACAGGCAATCAACAGAACCACAAAGAACAGCGTGAAGGAGATGTCGTCAATGGAGAATATTCATTAGTCGAACCGGACGGTTCTCTTCGTATCGTCCGCTACACCGCTGATCCTAAAAATGGCTTCCAGGTAACGAAATAACATGTTTCAAAATTATTAGATTATTAAATGCTTTAACAATCAAGTCGGTGACCTATCGGTTGTTTCTAAAGCTATCGTTGATTAGATGAAGCGAACACAATAAACGGTTACCGTTGTGTTTTCAGTATAAAAAGTCTGTTTGATGTAAAAACTGATTTCAGTCGCCGCGAAATGTAGGCCAATAACATTTTGTAATTTTATAATTATTTTGAAGAGTTACTAATAATTGTCTGAGTAATAACGTAAAGAAATGAGCAATACTGAGTTTATGGAAAGACTTACGACACTAGAAGTCGAGCTATGGTGCGGCTGAGGTTTTTAGGTTCGAAGTTAAATTATGTAATGGCTCGTACAGTGTTTTGAGCCAGGACCTTTGCCTTGAATTTTAAATAAGTGTTTTTTTTTCTCTGCAGGCAACGGTGCACAAGCAACCTGCAGCACAAGCTCAACAACAGCAGGTAGAACAGCCAGTTCACTACGGTCGTAGGAATCAGGAAGAAGATGACTCCAGAGAGTACTAGTTTTAATTATTTTGTAAGAAAGTCGTTTGTAAGCGTTTTAGTTTTGTACTGTTGATTATTTATTTATGAACTATTTTTAAGTTTTGGAAATAAATAAGTTAAAACCAAGTTTCAAGTTTCTTATCAGTTTCTAATCTATCTTTGATATAATATATTTGTAAAAAGTTATCGTACTGAATATAAACGAAAAACTAATAACAGTGGACAACATTTAAATAACACGTCAAAAGATAATTTAATCTTTTATTATAATTTTACTTAAATTATGAACACATTTACAAAAACTCTACACTTAACTGTTTATTCTCGAAGATATTGACTATTAAATTGGTAATGACGGCGACATACTTGGTCCTGCCCCTCCTAAGAACGTTCTCAAGAAATCCATCGGGAAGGGGAATATTATCGTAGAATTCTTCTCTGCTGATATCGTATTCAGTGACTGCAAATATCGTAGCTGAAAAAATGAAGAAAATTCAAATGCATTAGACACGTACATCCGCCGATAGAACGTTAAAGTTAAAGTTACAGCTTATCACAGTAAAAATAATAAATTAAATACCTGCTCCGGACACCTTATTATAAAAGAACTTCGATATTGATAAAGGTTTACTATATTTAACAGTGCGTTCACTTACTTGCAATGCCATAGGATTATCAATCATAACCAGTGAAGCTTCTCTAAGCGCTTTGGATGCTTTTATTTCACCTTCAGCGGCTATAATCTTTGCTCTTGCTTCTCTATCCGCTTCTGCCTCTGCCGCCATTGCTCGCTGCAGTTGCACCGGCAATCTTACATCTTTGCTAAAAGTAGCATCATTTTACATTTGTCTTTCTTAAAAAAATAAAGGTATCAACTTTTCAAACACATTTAACTTATTAGCGCAGTTTTAGCTACGCTTACGGTAAAGGAAAAAGTGAAATCAATCACACAGCCTGCACATATCTGTGAAGATATGAAAAATGCCAGCATTTTTAACTACTGACTCCCCTAATTTAAGGTAGGAGCCCATCACCGGATACATCAACTAATAAAAGTTGACTGAGCTACATGTCATTTTCCACATTACGTATACAAAGACTAACATTTCAACTCTTTCAACTTCAACGCCCCAGGGATCTGTGGCCTCGTCGAGGTTGGCCTGCATCATGTGACTGATAGCTTCTCGGTCAGACAGCAGTTGTGCCAGGTCCCGCATGCCCAGCACGTTACGAAGTGTCGTCGCGGCTAACAGACGGGTAGACGCACTGCAATATAAAACCTTTATGAAATACGTGACATTACATTTTCTATACAATTTACTGGGTTAGTCAAATAATTTTACAATACCAAGCATGATTTAGTTTTAATTACTGATATTATAAATGCAAAAGTTTCGATGGAAGGATGTATGTTAAATATTGTAACCTAAACTGCTGTACGGATTTCGATTTCAAGCATAGACGTAGAGGATAGTCCGTAAACACATAGGCTACTTACTTTTGTTTTCATTTTCACGCGGACGGAGGCGTAGGCGAAAGCTTGTAATTATTTAATTTGGAATAAAATGATAATAGAAAGACGGTCCTGAGATCTAGTGCGATTATCGGATCGTAATAAATGCCGTTATTTGTAATGTATATGTTTATGTGAATTTAAATGAAAAAAAAATTGTCACCTGTAATCTGCAACACGAACAACTGCATTTAAAGGCTCCTTTATCCTGTAGTACACTACAGCGTCAACAGCTACCGTTACAGAGTCTCTCGTAAGAACCTTTAAAGAAGAAAATAATAACATTATACTGTGAAGTAACTCAAAACGAACTAAAAACAGTATCAAATAAATCAACAAAACTACATATTTTGACTACAGTATAAAAATTCAAGAATTTTCGCATAAAAAATTGCTGGACAGATGTTTTTTTACTGGAACGCAATTAAATCTCGAATTGCTGTCGGTTTTAATATCGGTAGCCATCAATCCGGCTGACAAATGAGGTCGGTACTGTGAGATATCCGTTCACGAATACTGAACATCTGACTTGCTTAAATAAACACATCACAACCAGAATTATGATATTAACCATTTATTTACAGATATATCGATTGAAAGAAATATGTAAATACAAAATAATATTCGTTTGTTCCTAAATTCACCGTTTGATAACGCGAATACAATGATTTACAAAATAAAACATGCGTTCAGAATTTTAAATACGATATTGGAAGGCCAGCATTTGTTCGCTACTTAGTGATGAATTAAAAATAAAAAAAACTAGAAATAAGGACTTGTAGCATCTCTTATTCAGTGCTAACGTAGCTTTCTAATTGACAACATTTTTTCGAAATATCTATTACTTTTGGAGTTAAGTCGTTACATACAAAAATACAAATCTTCTAATAATATCTATGCATCTAAAAATATTTTCGTTACAATATCTGTATAGAAGTTTGTGCCTAGAAGATAAATAACACAATAGGTGCAAATACAGAAAGGGGGCAGAATGAAGGATTTTAATTAAAGAGAATTTGGTAAATACTCGTATTTCAAATTGAACTGCAAAATTATCATAAATCACAGAATGATTACTCTAGTGCATATTTTTGGTTAGCAAGTGGAGCCGTCGACCTGAGCCACTTCAGCTTGTTTCAATGCACCGTTTGACGTATGCATAATGACGTAAAGATTTGGAATATTTTCAATCTAAACACATCAAGAAGTTATTAATAGTACTGAGAATGACCACAAAATACTAACAAGTTCGCAAATGTGTTGAGTTTTAACTGATTCATGGAAACGTTTTTGAAGCGATTAATTTTAGAGCAGTATCTTATGATATTTTATAATAGTGGCCATTAAACGTATTAAATATGTTTAAAAAATAATGTTTGATCGTAGATTAAATTTATTTCAGGAAGTTGACTCTTATAAAGATTTTTATATCGTAAAGTGTGTTTTCTTCATACTGTACAGCATAAAGTATTAATAGATGCAATGTGAGGTTCGGTACCAGACGATTGGTAAACAATAAGCGATTGTTTGTGCGTTGTAAAACTTTGATTGATGCCTTACGGCCGCATCAATTAATCGCGGCCCATCGCACGCGGTGTGAGAAACATCTGGGTTAACTGTTTTCAATACCAATGCCGCTGCACACCCGCTCGTATCTTGTTTCTTTTACACATTACCATGACTTAATCAAGCATATGTTAGTTCTTTTTCGTTCACATTTATGATTATTTGTGAATCAGGTTAATTTAAGATATGATGCATGCATAGATCAAGTGACACGAGAGAGATGCCTAATCACACTAAATAGGAGTCTGTTATACGCCTATAAGTTACTTGCATATATGAACTTATAATTTTTTTTATAGTTCGATATAATGCTTTATATACCTCCTGTGGTGGAACATCGAAAGACACTGTCCTCAGATCGACTTTCCTGTAAGTGTCGACGCATGGTAACACGAAGAATAGACCAGGACCTCTCGCTCCGCCTTTCCGTACTCGACCTAATCGGAATATCACTGCTCTTTCGAACTCTTGGACAACCTGGAAAATTACCATAGAGGCAATTAAAGTCTGGAAATCACTTCTTATATATTTATTTTATTAGTATCAAATATCATTCCAACTAAATTAAAAGCATACAGAGCTTTGGATGCTTGCCTTGTGTAGAACATACATAATAGTTCAGGACACCTGATAAAAAGTAGTAGTTATTTCGTTATCTATTACTATGTATATTGAATTATATTGCCTTGTAATCTGCAGGTCTTGGGTTCGAACCCCGATTCGATTCGTTCGAATCGATTTTTGAATTCCATATGTACCCTAAGTTCTACCGGTGAAGGAAAACATCGAAGAAACAGTGAAGAAATTTTAAGATATGTGTGATGTCAACCAACCCGCACTGGGCCAGTGTGGTTGACTATGGCCTAGTCACCTCTAAAATAGGGTAGGTTTCAAGCACCTCAGTGGGGACAAAGAGTAACCTGATGATGATATTCAATTCAAACGGAGCAATTTCAGTTAATTTTTATTTAAATATTTGGTTATGAGAATTTGCAATACATTTAATAAATCGTACGCGTTAAAACACACAAACAACATAAACCCAACATTAGCATATATCAATAGTAATATATAAATTCAGTTAGTAACGTATTATGTGTGAATTTTATTGACTACGATATGTTATGTAAATATTCATAAAATTAAAATGTTTATTTTAGAAATCAATTAGATCAATGGTGCAAATAAATTCGCTATAAAATGTTTCGCACGCCTGTTTTGTACACAGATAAAATACGAAAATAGTTTAATTGGCTTCACTTGCAGAACACTGAGGTAATTTTACTTGCCGCAATGAACCGCGCAATCTGTTTACACTGACCCTACCTAAGCGAGTATTTTAAACAATTCATGGTTTATTTACTTTTAACATTTTTAAAATATTTCAAATGTTTCTTATCTTGAATTTTACATACAGACTCTACATTTAGTACTACGAATATAACAACCTACACTTCAGTTATGTAACTATAAAATCGAATTGTCTTTTTAATTAAAGTTTTAAATGAAATGTTGTAATATCAATCATTTATGTAATTTTAGTGTGTAATAGAGTTACTGTCAGTAGGAACAACACGAAATTTATTTAAATTTAACCTTCCTAACGAAAACTAAAAAGCACGTATAGCACTTAATTTCTTTTATACAATTTTTTTTTCTTCAATTAGTCTTTTGTTAATTAACTGTATTAGTATGTTACGCACATATAATGAAAACCATTTATATTTTTTCTTAATTTCACCTTAAAGCATTCGAACAGTGAGAAGGGGAATGTAATGATGACCAGAAGGAAGGAGAGGAATGTAGCGAATCTCTCAACACATCCAACTGCCTCAGGATTCGCTGTCAACAATTAAAAAACTTTATAAAACCCGCTACAAAACAAATCGAAAACTCATACACTACTCTACCGTGTATTATGAAAGAACTTATCAAGCTTTCGGTTTACATTTTTATTGATTAATCACGGATTGATAAATTTCTTAGTTATTTCGGAGACCAATTATCAGAATTTAATAATTTTCACGAATTAACAAACTATGTTAAAACAGTACGATTACTTTTGTTCCCTTACATAGTACTTACGCATTTGTATCGTGATAGCGCAAGACGTACCCGTATCACAATCTAAAACGTTTCAATGCACAGACATTAGATTAATGTAAATTATTGTTTAAACAGATCTCGACAACGATTTACTTACGACTGGGTACATTATCGCGCCTAGTGCTATGAGATCTTAACTCTGTTTGCATATTAAACGGTTCTAATTTATTTGTTTAATTAATACGGCTAATCGAAATTATAAACGCTCATAACAGCGTATTACCCGGCTAACAATCGCAGACTGCGCTAACTTACTGTCAGAAGAGGCCGCATGTTTACCCGACCTAAAAAAAATACCGATTCCTAAAAATATCAATTACATTTCGTCGTCCGGCAACAATACGTTGTAAATCGAGGTCGTAATATACTTTTAGTTTAGAATTATTTACGTATTTCGAGGTAGCACTCCACTTCGCCTGAGTCCTTGTCGTAGCAACCGAAATCCATGGAATATTTGACACCGCGCAGTGTATAGCGCATTGATTTGTTAAGATCGTTGGTAAGTGGTCGCGATGTTAGCTACCCGGTGTCTGTAGGGACACTAAGAAGCCGGGAACCACGGAAGACCAGGCTTATGCCGACAATAAATAAATAAACGCACTTTCAGGCATAACGTCGAGCGAGCACGGCCGCACACGCCGCTGCGAACTACAAAATTGTTGAATTTAGGTATTCCCGAAACTATTCGCTACGTTAGGATACTTTATAAGAGGATGTTTAGATAATAACTTACTAATACAGATGTTAATATGTTTATGTTGAGTTGCCAAAAACTTTGAAATATGTAAATATTTGTAATAGATTTTTAAACCTTATATTTTAAACAGACATTTGTGTGCTAATTACATTTAGCATGGATATATGAGTGTAAAATATAGTAAATTTAGTTACTTACATTGCCATTCGGAACGAAAAACATTAAAATGTAAATAGCAATAATTTAATTTGTTAACTATAAACATAACAGTGAATCTAAAGACACATTTAGTTCAAAGCCATTCCTTTACATCTGGTGAATCTTATTGCTTTCGCTTTTTATTGCCATCTTGTTTTAAAACAGTTAACTATGTACTTCACCCGTGTTAGGAAAGGTTTCCATTGTCAAAACTTGTATTACAACATCATATATTTGTATTCATATCAATCTTACATTCAAATTGTTGCAATTATAGAGATTTCCATTAACAGATTCAATCGGCAGGAAATCCATGTTTATAGTTTGTTAAGGATTCATTACAGTGAACTTTAACAAACCGGTGTGTCCTCTTGCCGTCCTCATTGAGGCTTGTCTGACCTTTTATATGTTTATGTCCTCTAACTATGGACTACATAAGTCTATCTTAAAATTAATTTCTCGTAATACTTGTACTAGTCAGCTTCCAGTATTTATGTATACCTTTATAACTACTCATACTAAAATAGCGGTAATCAGTTGAAAAGTTGAGATACAATAAGTTTAATTTTAAAATTCGTCAATGCTATAATTCAAAACACCATCAGATTTAAAAGTTTAGGGACTTAGTTCCTTTATTTAGATTTGACGGTGTTTCCCTTACCTTAGCAACGCTAAGGTAAGGGAAACACAGTCTATTCACCATACACTTTATATGCGTCTCCTCCTCAGATTTACAGGTAGGCAACGCATCTGCAATCGCGGATGTCTATAGTTAGCAGTCGCTTCGCTTTTAGGTGGAATCAGGTGCCTGCTCGTTTGCTACTTTAATTTTAAAAAAGATAGCTCACATTCAGGGATCAATTTAAGACTCTGAGTGCTGCAGTAAATGTATTTATGTATGGTGTTAGGGTTATGCGGTCATTGAGACAGTTTTTATTGAGTTACATAATAAATGATCTACGAGACAGGTACATTAGTGATGTAACGTTCAACTGCAAGGCACTAGGTACAGTATTGGTCTGTAATTTATAAGAGACAGGCGTTGCCTAACATAAATGAAGACTTTCATTGTTATTGTATAATAGAAAGGGTTTATGATATTGTTTATGAATTAAATAACTAATCATATTGATGTTTTAATCAATTTATCATCAGTAAGGTTGTAAAGAGTCAATCGTGTTGCCTATGTAGCCTAAACTGCTGCACGAATCGCGATGAAATTTGGCATACAAGTAGACTTATTTTTGTTTTTTTTTTTAATTCTACGCGTACACAGTCGCGAGCGACAGCATATTTATAAAACATGCAGGTTGCAACGTGTTTATAATTTATTGAGTTTATCTGTAGCATTAGTTGGGTGGTTGACAATAAACTGGTACGATTTCTCAAACGGACTATATTGGCAACAAATTAAGGTTGCACCACAACTCGAGTGCGTACCAAGTCCGAGCGAAAACTGGTAGAAATTGCAACATTATAGGAATGTCGAGCAAAGACAAGACTGTTATCCGTACAAATAAAAGTTAACCGTAAATGATATCTATTTCAATCAAGCCATGTGGTTCATAAGTAAGTTTTTTGGCTAGTAATTATTAAAGATAAAGTCGGTGAGAGACTTTAATTCATTATTTAGTTACTAATTATTAAGTAATCAAGCGTTTCTGGAATTTAGTTAAATAAAAAAGGAGATGCGAATCGCATTTAAACATTTTGAAAATACACGCATTATTTGAAAATTAAATATCGTTCTTGCCGAAAGCATCTTTTGCCCGTCAAATTTCCAGGGCTTGCACAGTAAAACTGTGTTTAAAAAATAAGATGTTTACAGTTTTTTAATTGATATTACTTTGTAATACAAGAGCTTTAAAAATTAATGTAAAAATTTTTTTACAGCCGTATAACTATGCCTAAATTAAATTCCTTTTAAAATAAGGGTAAAACTATTCTAAAAGAGAACATTCTTGTCAGCATTTCGGTATTTATATTCTTTATTTAGGCATATTTCTTGCTATTTTCAATCAGTAAAACCGTAGACCTTTAATTATTTTAAGATTAAAACGTTACCTTGTGTAGCGTGCTCTAAATGTTTCGAGTATAAAAACCTTAAAGCGATTTCCTCCGTCATCATTTGTGTCCCGTAAAAGTATTTAATTGTAAAAAGTGGGCAGACTTGTATGTGTTAGTGTTGCGCAGGATACTGCGATATAACACTGATTTATCTAGAACACATTGCTTTGATAAGTTTATACGTAATTTCAGTAATTCGCTTGTCAACCACTTATAAGTATCTGTAACGACTGACGTGAATTTCCGACCGACTTAATGAATTTTATCTTATATTTATTCCTATTTAATGTGTACTTTATTAAGCAACAAACTACATTATTTTATTAATTAACTAGCTGTTACTAGCGACTTCGTCCACGTGAAACAAACAATTTGTAAGAATATTGCTGTTATTCGCTGATAACATAGCTTTTTGATATAATAATTTTTAAAATCGGCTCAGTAGTTTTTTTAATTTTAAATACATACAAAAATCCAAAAATAGAAAGCTTTTCTCTTTATAATATAAGTATATTCGTAGATATAATTATGTTTAAAATAAAATAATTTAACAGACGTCAAAAATTAGGTTAATAGATCATAGTAAGAGTGAATAAAATCAAGAAGTATGAGGCATATCACAATAAAAACCTGAAAAATAGATATTAAAATTTTATTCACTACTTAAAAATACTTCACCAATCAATCACACGTGATAGCTGACCTTAGGGGTGTCAACTCCTGACAAATAGGCTTTAAGGGAGCTTTTACACTTAAAGTTATTGTACTAATAAAAGTTTATTAAATACTAATGATTACTATGTCGATTCGGATGTAAGCACAATTGTCATTATCTCTTGTCTGTACCAATGTATCCCAATGTTTGTCAAGAAGAATTGCTATTATAATAAATCTTGCTGTAAAATGAGGCATGCCAAAAAAACTAAAATATTGTACAGTGTCATAGTATTTCTTCAAGACTATAATTGTAATAGTTATTAGATAAAATTAATCTTGTAAATTTTGTGAACCCTAAGTAATCTTAGAGCGTAGAAATTGGAGGGGCCCTATGTTTAAAAGCCTAGGACTAGAGGTACGTAGATGATAACTAAGTGCTGCGAGTGTGTGAGACTGTGCTTTAACTTGAAGTCATGTGGGTGAGTTTGCGTAATAAAATAATAAAAAGAAAAAAAACAGAAATATATTTTCTCATATTTCGTTATCGGAATCTAATTTTTAATAACAAGTTTAAATTCGATTTATTATTTTATTTTGCACTTCTATCTAATTACCTTTGAGTTTTGAACATTCATTTATATACTTACTTTTGCGTAAATTTTATTTATGTTTACATCGTTACGATACAGTTTTAAACACAATATTTTTTTTTAAGTTAAAATATCTCATTCAATCAACTTTGGCGGTTAAATATGTGAAGACATGTTAGCGTGGGATCTCACTGCCTTAAAAGAACTTGTTGACATCGAATCATTTCTTACGATTTAATCTTAAATGTAACGATTAATAAAGATGTCGGTACTGAATAAATTACTTCAAATGTCAGTAAACAACAATTTAATATGTAAAGGAAGGAAACTTGAATCGAATTTAACCAAACGGTGATATATTTTTATCAATGCTTTGATTGTTGATCGAAGCAATAAATTGCTTTGTATCAAGAAAATCTTAAATCTCCAAAACCACTTAAATGTTGAATTTTTTTTATTTCCCTTGTAAGCATTTCTAATATATATTTTATTTGGTCAACAATAGCTAGTCGCGTTAGTGGAAAAAGGATCTATAATCTTTGTTGTAGTTCGCAGTGCTGCTGGCATGTATGAGCGGGGCGCTCGCTGTGCCGATAGATTACGGCGGTTACGGCGGATACGGCGGATATGGTGGCTACGGTGGTGCCGTGTATGCGCAAGCTCCGGTCGCGCTGCAAACAGTTCATGCGGCGCCCGTCGCTGTGCAAGCCGTCCATGCGCCTGTTGCTGTTGAGACTGTGGTAATATTCTAGACGTGGGCTGAATTCTAGTAATCTATACTATTATTACAAAGAGTAAAGATTTTTATAAATTGTATGTATTGGAATAACACAAAAACTACTGGGCCAATTTAAAAAAATCTTTCACCATTAGAAAGCTACGTTATCGCTAAGTAGCATAGGCTATGACTTTTATTTCATTGAATATAGGGAAAGCATTCTTAGCGTCCTTATTATATACAGAACAGTTGTTGTCTGCAACTTATTTTATGCGGTCATTTTTTTCCAAAGACAATCTTCAATCTTAGCTTCTCTTTCATTTATATTTTAACCTGTATGTGTTAAATTTACAATTGTTTAGATTTCAAGCAATCATTTTTTGTAATTCCTCAGTCGTACCCAAAGTACGCGTTTTCATACGGCGTGAAGGATCCACACACCGGCGACGTCAAGACACAGCATGAGGAGAGAGATGGTGATGTTGTCAAAGGTAATATATATCCCCCTGAAGGGTCGGCGCACCAGGTATTCTTCCTCCATGTTACTCTATCTTCCGTCATCTCAGTCGCTTGTTTATCTGTCACTTTTTATGTAACTTGTTTATCTATTTCTAGGACTACTTCTTCTAGTGTACCAATAAAGAAGTCGGTCATTGGTATTTTGGTCCTTTCTCATGTTTTTATAACTTTACAGGTAGTTACTCGCTAGTAGAGCCGGACGGTACGACGCGCACCGTCCACTACTCAGCGGACGATCACAGCGGCTTCAACGCGGTTGTGCAAAAGTCCGGCCACGCCGTGCATCCGGTATGAATAACATCTTGTTGACATTGTGCTGGTTTATGCAAGTTTCAACAAATAAATTTACTGATATCACTTTGAGCTGATGCTTCGCTCTATAGTAATTTCTATCTGGTTCAAAATAATAACATTATCGCCGTACTGCTATATTAGAATTATCATTTAAACCAAAGAAAATAATAAAATTTTAATAATTTGGGACAGTGAGTGTTGAATGAATTATGTAGTAAGAATTGATTACTTTTAGAGTTTACTAGAGATAATAGTATCACAGTGATTTTTTCCCGAACGTCTTGTTTTGTAGCAAACATTACACAGACTTGATTTCTCTGTCGCTCGAGCAACGGTGCTGTTGCGACAGGCATGGTGCGTCAACTTATAAGGAAACAGCGTGGATCTTGGCCTACTTTTGTTGTACCTAAATCTGGAAAATTATAAAAACATAAATAACTTGTAGTTTTTCTTATTAGAGTTAATTTTTGCGCGCTTAATTTTTCCAATACTTACTGTTCCAGTACTAGGAATATTTATATAAGTTCGGATTCTAACTTGAGGTCTCATTTTCAATGTTGCTTGAGTTAACCTACGCACTGTCCGTAAATGTTCATATGAAAGCTTTAGAAGTGGCGTCCTAGCAATAAATTCCTATTTGGTTTTCAAATTATCAACAGTTAGACATTTATTAAATGCGTCAACAGTGATAAAATATTGAGTCCAAATTTGAACTCACTTTATATAGGCATAGGTTCTCTTTCTTTATAAAAACTCCATGGTATACCCTAAAACAAAAAAATCTTGTTGTTTTCCTTGTATTGTAGACCTTTATCGTTTTAATTCTTTTGTATGTGTTAACATTTCTGAAAGAAGGGGTCGAACGTAAGCTAACTAGGATATAATTCATTATTTGTTACCTTTTTCTTACCGTTCAATTTTTTTTTCAGCAAGTGGCAGTTGCGCCAGTGGCCCACTACGTGGCAGCACCATCCTATGCCATTTCTCCGCATTCTTATCACTAAATTGTTTTGATTGGTTAATATCTTTTATTTCACGAATCACTTGATTTTATTCTTATAAGTGTTAGTTTGGACAATCGTAAAAAGAGTTTTAAGGCTTTTAATATTAATTTTCTATTTTTGAGCTTTCCTTGGAAATAATTTGAAATCGCTTGCAACTGTAGTTTACATTTTTCTGTTAGCGTTTGGTTTTGTGTGTTTACATCAGATTCCTATAGGATAGAATGTTTTAATATCAATGTTGAAATCATTGTGATTGATGAATGATTTGTTTTGTAAAGATAAGTAAATTACAGCATCCAAAGTACAATGAGATACTCCGTCTTTTATAGAATTATCGTTTTATGAACGGATTAGCTTGTAAGGTTTTACAATTTGTCAAAGATATGAATGTGTATCAATGTTTTATGGTTAATAAATTATAATCTATACTGATGTTGTTATTTATTTTAAATCTGTTTAAGAGCGGGCGCGAAACTTTGACTAAACAATCGCACAACGATTGTTCGATTGTCAATTGTTTCGCAGCCAATTCAACTGTTTAGTTGAACAATTAAACATCGAATAGTGGGATATTCATAGGGATTAAAACGCGACTAAACAGTTGTGCGATAGTTTAGTCAAATATGTAAAAGTCTAATCGAGGAAGAACTAGCTATACTATATTGTGTAAAAAACAACAGAATCGACATCGATATAAAGATGATTAAAAGCTTTTATCGCTCTATAAACCTGCACACTTTGAATCAATGAAGAAACAAAGCGTACTATAGAAGTTCATTGGCCTTTCATTTATAATCTCGTATTAATTTATATGCTGTCGAAATGTATTTACTATTAATGCCATATATGAAACTAGAAACAGGTCCTCGCTAATAAACTATTAACGATGTTGAATCATTAAGTTCTTACTTGGCGCGGGTGGATTTTGCGATACAGGGCTGCTTATAAACAGCAATTGTGGTCCGCTTTTTTTTATTTTTCACTTTTAAAACGCGAACGCAGACAATATGAAATATTACGACCCGAAAAGAATAAATGAGGACAGCATGTTTGAATATAGGGACAATGACTGGAAGAGGACGAGAGCTAGTGGATGTATTAGTAAGAAGAAGAATAAATGTGGCTTGTTTGCAAGAAACGAAATGGAAAGGTATGAAAGCAAAAGAAATAGGGGAAGGCTACAAGTTATATTATTGTGGGTGTGATGGCAAAAAAAATGGTGTAGGAATTGTGCTTGATGGTGAATTAAAGAATCAGGTGATGGATGTAAGAAGAATAAATGATCGAATGATAATTGTTAAGCTGTTAGTGGGAGGTGTGATTTTGAATGTAGTTAGTGTGTATGCGCCGCAGACTGGTTGTGATGACGCAGTGAAAGATAAGTTTTGGGAGGATTTTGATGGAATGATGATTAGTATGTCAGGTGACGAAGAAATTTTAATTGGTGGAGATTTTAACGGGCATGTAGGTAGAACGAATGAAGGATATGAAAGAGTACACGGAGGGTGGGGCTTTGGGAGACGTAACAACGACGGTGAAAGATTGTTACAAGCAGCGATGGCTTACGACCTCACCATAGTAAATACATGTTTCCAAAAAAGAGAAAGTCACTTAATAACATACCATAGTGGCAGATTTAAAACACAAATTGATTACCTCCTAGTTCAGAAATCCAGTGTAATCAAAGTTAAAAATTCCAAAGTGATACCTAGTGAGGTCGTAGCCCCACAACATAAACTGCTTGTTTCGGACCTAAAAATAAAGCACCAAGTTTGTGAATTTAAAAGAAAGCCCCAGCCCAAAATTAAATGGTATTTGCTTGAGAGGGAAGACTGCAGGGAAAAGTTTCGAGAGAGAGTGGTAGATAAAATGATTGAGATGGATGTTGATATGTGTAGTAAATCGGTTAATGAATGTTGGAATGAAATTGCTACCTCTATACGGTGTGCTGCAAAGGATGTTTTAGGGGAAACGAAAGGCGTAGGAAAGCTAGATAAGGATACATGGTGGTGGAACGACGAAGTACAGAAGGCAGTGAAAGATAAGAAGGAAGCATTTAAGGCGTGGAAAAACGGGGATGAAATGAATGAGGATATGCAAGAATTTAGAAGGAGAACGTATGTTGAAGTAAGAAAAATTGCTAGAAGATCGGTTGCGGTGGCTAAAGCTGCTGTACAGAACAAACTGTACCAAGAACTGGACACACCGCAAGGACAAAAAGATCTTTACAGGCTAGCAAAAGCGAGAGAGAAGAATGCGAGAGATATTATGCACGTAAAATGTATGAAGGATGAAAATGGTAAAATTTTGTTGAAAGATGGAGATATAAAAGAGCGATGGAAAGTATATTTCAGAAATTTAATGAATGAGGAGAATGAATGGAATGGCGTCGTACCGAGAACACCGGTCAATATGGCGTTGGTAAATGAGATCAGTTTGGATGAGGTTAAAATGGCAGTGAGAGATATGAAGAATGGAAAAGCTGTGGGGCCTGATGGCATACCCGTTGAAGTATGGAAGGTTTTGAAAGAAGATGGTATAAAGTTGCTGATTTTATTCTTCGATAAGCTGTTGCAGGAAGAATCGATCCCTGATGAATGGTGTACCAGTACGTTGGTGCCTATTTTTAAGAACAAAGGTGATGTTCAGAACTGCAACAACTATCGTGGAATAAAACTCATGTCACATACTATGAAAATTTGGGAGAAGGTGATAGACAGACGGATAAGAGAAGAGAGTGAGATATCACAGAACCAATTCGGGTTTATGCCAGGTCGAGGAACAACGGATGCCATATTTGCTTTACGTCAGCTTTGTGAAAAGTACAGACGTGTACATAAGAACTTGCATATGGTGTTCGTTGACCTTGAAAAGGCATACGACCGAGTCCCCCGTAAGGTTCTGTGGTGGGCGATGAAAGAAAGACAAGTGCCTGGGAAGTACGTGCGACTCGTGAGTGCTATGTATGAAAGAGCGAACACTCACGTCAGGTCCGAAGCCGGCGTAACCGACAAGTTCAGTGTGGCTGTGGGCCTGCACCAGGGATCGGCTTTAAGCCCTTATCTGTTCCTCCTGGTTATCGACGCGTTAACCGTGGAGATCCAGGAGGAAGCACCCTGGTGTATGCTGTTCGCCGACGACATTGTTCTTGTTGGGGAAGATGCGCTTGAGGTCCAGAGCAGACTGGAGAGATGGCGGGATAAACTGGAGACAGCCGGACTAAAGATAAGTAGAGCAAAAACAGAGCAGTTATTCTGTGACTTTGGGGGCTTATCCAGTTTTTTCCCGATTGCCTTAGATGGCGCTCATCTCCCAGTTTGCTCCGACTTCCGGTACCTCGGCTCATTAATCCAAAGCGACGGCTACATTGACCGTGACGTGACAAATAGAATAAAAGCGGGATGGATGAAATGGCGACAGGTCACAGGAGTAATATGCGACCCTCAAATTCCACTTAAATTAAAGGGGAAAATTTACAAGGCCGTCGTAAGACCTGTCATGATGTATGGATCTGAATGTTGGGCAGTAAAAGGGACGGATGAAAGAAGACTACATGTGACAGAAATGCGAATGTTAAGATGGATGTGTGGGGTAACACGAATGGATAAGATACGAAATGAGTATATTAGAGGAAGTTTGAGAGTAGCCCCCATAATAGAGAAGGTTAGGAGTAAAAGGTTAGCATGGTATGGGCATGTTATGAGGAGGGATGAATCGCATGTTACAAGGAGAACGTTAGTTATGAGTGTGGAAGGGTACATCGGTAGAGGTAGACCTAGAAAGAGATGGATGGATTGTGTAAAAGGTGACATGATCAAAAAGGGAGTGATGACTGAGATGACGTATGATAGAGTTATGTGGAGGACAAAAACCTGTTGCGCCGACCCTACGGGAGTAGGATAAGGAGATGGATGGATGGATGATGATGATGATGTTAAATGTTTTTAATTTTTGTAATAAAAATCTTTTTAACTTAGGTCGATACAAGTGCTAACTTGGTTCTAGTTACTTTTATTGAGTTAAACTATTATCAATCAATATTATTATCAATCAGATCAATATTCAAATTAATAGGACATATTTAATGTTGCGAAGGTATACATGCTAATGCTTGTTCTCAAGTTTCATATACACTGAAATGTTACATTATACATCCTTGCAGACTGAAGTTTGGAAGCCCTGGTGCAATCAAACGCACGCGGCAAATATAGATGTAGCGAATTACTGTTTACTTTGTTAATGTCAATTTTATCTTATCTGATCTACACATCACCGACTAGTTATAGCTTATTATAACGACACCAGCTTTATCTATCTTCTATGTAGTTGAAAAAATTGATGTGCGCATATTTGTCCTTTATGAGTTCCTAAGTAATTGGGCTGATTTCGATTATTCACTACTTTCTTTAGATTTTTTAAGGATGATAGAAGAAGTGCCCAAAAGATTTGAGATTTAGCTAGTTATTACAGCACTGGTTGTAAATCATGTATTTTTATATGCAAATGTGAAAATATTCGGTATTTGTGCGGCTGTATAATACGGATTCAGTATTTTACAAAAAACATATTTTAAAAGAACAAATAAGGAGATACGATATCAAATTTCTTTGCATAAAATGTTCCGTTTAACACATAATTTAACGAGTTCAAATTGGTATATTTCTTACAAAAATATTGGTCACATTGTTTTAATTTATTATAATAATAAAATTTAATACTGAGCTGTGGTACAAATTCAGGAAATGTATGTGTCAGTTTTTTAAAGATTTTTAGTGTTTCTCCTATTTAAAAAGTATGCTATCCATAAAGGCGAGTGTGGGCAGTAGGCGTAGGTACACGCATTAAATTATGTCAAGAAATACCAAATAAGTGTTTACGATATCACGCCTTTGAGAAAAACTGAGCTTTTATATCTCAAATGCAATCAAATGACGATTTAAGAACACTGTAACTGTTATTATTGTTTATGATATATTACTTATGCCAGGCAAAATATGATTCGTTTTTATTTACCATAAATATTTTTAAAGCAATGAAGAACAAACTTTTACTTATACTAAGAAATTGTTAAACTGGATTCAATTTTTCTGTACATTATTATACTCATAAAGAAAATGCACGGCATCGTTTGAATAACTTAAAGGCAAATAGATGTAAAGAGAAAATGGTTCTCCCTAAATCACAGAATCATACAAAGTCAAAAGTATTGCATTAAACACACTTCTGAGCAATCACTCGTTAAATTACATTTAAACAATTGCATTTAAAAAACAGTACTTGAACTTGCTCGTTCATTTTGCGCTGACTCAACCTTGTAAAGTGCATATATGCACTTTAAAACTAACATTGTTTTATATGTAAATATAAATGCAACTTGCGTGTTCTCTAGCCACCGCCATACATCCGACAACCGCTTTCGTCGCCTCGTAACTCCTTATCCTGCTGTATGACATCACTTTGGAACGGATACGGGCGAAATTGCCTTCACCCACAAAGTTTACGCGCCTCACACAATGCTGTTGTTTTTTGCAAACTAAAAACCATTAAAAGGACGTGACTATAAGGGGAATCACGTATGCTCAGAGCTCGTTTGACCGTGTACACACTTCCTATAACACGATACCATAGAAAAATTTTAAGCACGAATGTGAACAGTGAAAACTTTTGAACGAAATTTTGGCAATGGCATTACTTGTAAAGGTAAGATGTCTTGTTTGTTTTAATATTTTATTATAATTAGTAAAGTTTCGTGCTTACCTAGTTTGAATAACTGCCGTGAACTTAATTCGTTAATTTTGTATTATATTTTCTTTTACCAAATTCTTTATTCAACGAACTTTAACGAACACTGAAAAGGACATCATAATGTGGGATCCAATAAAGTTGTTTTTGTTTCTTAAAATAAATCTGCTGAGTTTTCAATTTCTCGTGGATTTGTAGATATATACTACCAGTAATAAACGCAATCATACTTATATTATAAATGCGAAAGCTTAGATAGGTGGATGAATGGATGTTTGTTAGAGTTTGTAGCATAAACGGCTGAACGGATTTGGATGAAATTTTGTCTAGATGTAGAGGACAGTTTGGAAGAACACATAGGCTACTAACTTTTGTTTTTTTTTTAATCCACGCGGACGGTGTCGCGGGCAAAAGCTAGTAATAAATAAATTTATCTTTCTTTTGGATAACAATATAACTCAGATACAGATTTTTTTTATAAAATATAATAGCAATTTTTCAATTATTTTGCCATAGCATTGATTAAAATAAGTAAATCTTGTCTACTCTTGCTACAGGTTGCTACTATAATTGGTTGGTTTTGATAAATGAAGTTCGTATTAATCAAGAAACATGACTTAATCCTATAAAGTGTACGTTTCTGTATCAGTTTTGATATATGGTCGGTGTAACGTTAAATGAAGCACGTCCGACACCGGATTATTCGGACACAAGACAAATGCCATTCATTTATAAGGATGACGCTAATAATGAAAAAAGTTTGCTGTAATTGATAATGTACTGAGTCATTTGTAAAGCTGCGCAGTTACGCCCTCTTCTTAAAAGTAATTAATGAAAAGTTACACTGGCTAATCTTACTTCATACTAATATTATAAATGCAAAAGTTTAGATGGATGGATGGATGGATGTTTGTTAGAGTTTGTAGCCTAAACGGTTGAAGGGATCTGGATGAAATATAGCATTGATATAGAACATAGTCTGGAAGAACACATAGACTACTCACTTTTTTTTTTATTTCCACGCGGACGGAGTCGTGGACAAAAACTGGATTTTTAATCATTTAAAATGTTTTAGATTCTGGCTATAGCGAGCCTGATGTTATATAACAAAGGTATCCAATCGGCAACTAGAGTTAAAAGACTCAGTTTAGCAGAACCAATGCCGATACATTATTATGGACAAGGTATTATCTTCAATATTTTATAAACAACTATTTAATTTAAATTGATTAATTTTAGATAGCTCTTTTGAAAATAAATGACGGTGTAGTGAATTAAGAAGAAAGGGGACAGACAGGGATGGGAAGCAGGATAATAAATGTTTCGTAATTTTGCAGGCAATCCAGGAGCTTATTCTTTCGGATATGATGTGTCCGATCCAGATACAGGTAACGTCCAGTATCGAAAGGAGGAACGATTTCCAAATGGTACTGTCGTGGGTAGTTATGGATACCTGGATCCCTTTGGACGTACGCGTCGCTATCAATATGTAGCTGATGAATATGGCTACAGGTATTTTTTAATTCAAGATTTACTATGTAAACGAGTGCCTGTGTTCCTCTGTGTATGCCAAATTATTACACTCATAGCGCCTGTAGAAATAAGAAAGCAAACTTTGTAGACAAAAATTTAAGAAATGTTCTATGAAAGGGAACTTTTCCTTTCAACTTACTTTTTTAATTATAAAATTATTTTTCAGCCATTGTTTTTGTTATCGTATTAGAATTAGGTAAGATAATGACGACGGAACGTATCTTTAATAACAAACATACGAATGAGAAGACAAGAAGAGCTCTTACACAATGTAACACAAGTCCATATTTCCTACTTTCATTGTCAGTGCAAATTTATATACAAGGAAACTGTTTCCAGGGTCATCAGCAACACACCGATGGACGATAAATTTCACATAGTCAACGGTCAAAAAGCAAGTACTGAATCTTCTGTCACTTGGACGCGTCCCGCTAAGAAAAAGAAGAAAACGCAAGAAACAACAAATGTTTTAAACTTGCTAACAAATAACAAGTATTTACACCTGAAACCTCCAAGTTATTATGCTATCGAGTAAAGATATATGTAGAAGAAGAGTAATAAAAAAATGTTAACATTTATAAGAACGAACGGATTATTTGTAAAAATTACAGTTTTTTTTAAACAGTATTAAATGGTCGTTATAAAAATTTGACATTTAAACAAAAACTATTTTGAAAATTTGAAGGACTGACAGCTGTCAGCATTAATAAAAATGTCTGAACGTGTTTAATAAAAATGATATTAAATAATCAGCAAAGTTTTTTGAAGTTTATTTTAATTTTATTTCTACTATTACTAGTCAACTGTAAGTAATTTTTTATCATAATAATTCTATAGGAAACTGCATCTAGATAAACATTATCGATAAATTAATAACCAGAGTCCCTCACAAAAGCAAGATTTCAAAAATAGATTTTTTTTACCAAAAGAAGGAATAAAAGATTTCCATGTGATCTTACAATCTTATGGAAGAGAGCTAGATGTGAACCTTAACTTTTGACATGATGTAGCGTTTGAAACGTATTCAAAACTTAGCTACAGAAATCGTTCCAGTCAGAACAACCCCTTTCATTAATGTTTCTATTTTCTATCAGGTTATCCGATGAGCAGAGACAATTTAATTAATAAAATTAGTATAAAGGAAGAGAAACACTTTCCCAACGGCACTGTTACTGGCCATTATAAGTACGTAGATAAGGAAGGAGTTCCTGTGCACGTAAGGTATTACGCAGACGATGCGGGATATGGGTTAGTCATAAGTTGTATTCCTGTAGGTAACCCGTTACAAAATAATGAGCGATTTTATAGTACTTGGATTCCCTTTATACCTTAGTAACAGGAATAAATCTTTTCATTTCCATATATTTTAGCGTTGAATTGAAAAGTATGAAAGTCTACGATACAAACAATGATCAAGACAACACACATTTAGAAAAGCAACAAAAACTAGATAGTCTGTGGCCTCCTCTGGATTCTTCAACTGACTTCTCACAAGATTATCCAAACACTGTAAACAACCCTACGAATACAACCAAAAACAAGTTCCTATCACTTAATGATTTAGCTAAAGGTAATAAGGCTCTTTATCCAAAGAAGGCGTACAAAAACTCACCGGATTATGAAATATATTTGCAAAATGAAGTACACGCACCGAAATGTGGTCAGAATAAAGTGAGGATTTACATTGACAAGGGCAAACGAAAATCTCGTGAAGCATCTAATGTGGCTACTTATAAGTATTTCGATTAATTCTATTATTACTATTCTATTTTCAAATAAAATAAAATTAAAATAGCTTTTTTTATTTTAAAATATTAATATACACATGAATCTGTTCCTGGTCATCCAATAGTTTAGGTATGGAATAATATCTTAATAATAAACATTCTGGACTGTTAAATACACTTAAAGGGTTCTGTGGCTGACTTTGTAAATCTAAACCTTCTCCAATATAGCTGTAGCCTAGAATATTATCGCGTTTTACTTTTACCTGTAAATTCAAATACAATTTTAGCATTAGACGTACGTTGGATAAGCAATGGAGTTATTGCAGTAATGAATAAGATTACACCTAAAAGAATTTAACTTGAATTACGTTGATAAAATTTCAATAAGTGAATTGAAATAAAATTTACGAAGAGTGAATTGAATAAGGAAGTTAACAAGTCCATTGACGACGATGTAGTTGGCATGCACATCGCGCGCCGCCTCGGAACCGATTGATGCATCTGAATAGAGCTATGAGAAAACTTGAATTTCTGATTCGCCGCGTTCCACGCTATTATATAATGCTAGATGACATTCGGATAGCACTTTTTTCATATCTTTTCATACGAAAGCTACGATAAACATAATAAAAGATTGAGACAAATAAAAGCAAAAAATAACTCACACAACAAACTTGCTTAAACTCAGTTAATCTACAAATCCAAATAATTATGTCTTCTTGTCCCTTTATTTGCTGTAAAGAAAAATTTATAACAATAGCATAGGAGAGCCAATAAAAAAATATACGTAATGAGAAAATCTTACGTTTTCTTCAAGATGTCCGTCTCCATTTATATCTTGTGCGCTTTTATTGGACTTGAAATTGTTTTTAGAGACCTGCTTATGTTCATGGATTGTGTGATTTGTATGTAAAATTTTGGCTGCCATAAGCAATAAAGTTGCCTTACTTCTAGATAAAAAAAACAAGTTGGATGCGATTAATAAAAATTATCAATCATCATCACCAGCACACTATACGTCCCCACCGAGGGGCTCGGAGCCTTCCCTAAGTTAGGGTGAAAAAAATAAAATTAAAAAAAAATTATCAATACATTTAATAATTTATTGTAAAACTTACCCTATTGGATTAATAATAGCCACGCATTTGGTATCCTTTGACAAATTCGTTGGTTTTAAGTATATTTTCAAACTTTTTCTGATGTTAATCGGTAAAGTGGGTATTGCTGAATGGTCGAAAGTGAAATGTTTCAAAATTGAATTAAATGCAACCGTCTTTCTGCAGTTAGACACGGGACAAGTGATTGGTCTGAAAATACAGATTTATAAGAAGTAAAATTTCATTAAAAGCCTTATTGTGATGATCATTTTGATTTAAATAATATTTACCTTACGTTTATTTTTTCTATCTCATTAGATTCATGGCTCTTCACACTATCATTGTTGTCAAAACCAAAATTCTTGTAAACTATGGTGGTCTCAACTGTATTGCTTGTATGTCTAAAATTCTGAAATTTACATTTTTATTTAGTTGTTTATAAAATCAAAAAGCTTATTTTACTTATTTTTATTAAGAAGACTTGGATGTGAATAGGATTTTTACTTTTTTCGGATGACTTGTTTTATCGGTTCCTTCAGCTTTATGTTTACTTGTTTTCCTTTTAACGTTTTCATTCGCTTTTCCTGCAAAAGTATTACGTTTACTAATCTATTTGTTTTAAAAAATCTTTCTCTCTCTCTCGCTCTCTCTCTCTCTATTTCTTTCTCTTTACTTTACGTTCAAAAATAAAGAAACTTACTGGTTTTGCGTTTAACATAATCACCACCGGCTAAATCATTTGTTATGATATTTTCACTGCTTGCAATGTCAATTATTTTAGCTTTATTTAAGTTGCATTTTACAGAATATTCGTGAGTTTCATTCAGATCATCTAAAATTAAAAATAAGCGTAGTCAGCAACAAGAATTTAGGATACATGAAAAATGTCTTGCCATAAGCCGAAAGAAAAAAGTTGACTGTAATTAAATATACAAGTTAAAATAAAATTCCTTTTCTTACAAAATATGTTTTGAAATACGAGTAATTACCGTCGCATTTCATACATATGGTATGACCAGATTCACAGACATAGGCACTGTGCTTTGGTGTTATATTCTTGCACAGTTCGCATTGTAAGGTTGCTGTATCAAAAATCTAAAAATTAAATTTTATTAGTAAAATTACTTAAATAATCATGAAGCCAAGGGGTGTAACATAAGCCTATAGAATAAGGGATTAGACGCAGACCTATTGTTATCTTAAGACAGACTGGACAAGCACCCATATCATGCAAATTGACGTAGGTACTCTATTGGGATTGTCTTTCTGAGTTATCGGGATGTCTATCCATTTTAATCTCTATATATGTTTTATTTATCTATACTATATTATAAAGAGGAAAGATTTGTATTTTTGTATGTATTGAAATAACTCAAAAATTACTGGGCCGATCTCAAAAATTCTTCCATCGTTAGAAAGGTAATATCTGTAAGTAACATATGTCTTTTCTTTTTTTTTTAATTTCACGGGGACAAAGTCGCGAGTAACAGCTCGTTACTAAATATGTTTCACAGTACCAGGATAACATAGATGATACTGGCTATAAAGCCTCACAAACTACTCGTACGTGCATTGCTTTAAAATATTTATTTACAAGAGTTACATAATTATGTAGTTAGTTTTATAATTCTATATGTAAGTTGATGTTAATTTTGTTCTTCGAGTACTGTATTGGTTTATTTTAGTAGGAGCGAATCTAGCGAAAGTGACTTCGATTCGTCTTAATAATATAACTATGTAAAGTAGGTTACGAATCCGGACAATACATGAATTTAAAAAAAGTCACGTAAACATTTACACGAACGGGCGCAACAACTATTTCCGGTTATGACAAACAAAATAGACACCTTATTTAAAAACATTATAAACAATAAACAAATATATCAAAATCGTAGAAAATTATTTTGATAGCTTCATTGAAACATTATTTTTTTAAATTCAGGACCGTCAAAGGTAAAATACGTCTTGGTGTGTCATTTAGAATACAACCTTTTTGATACAATCCTGGTAAATCTTTTTTTCTATACCTTTTAAAACCACTCTGCAAGCACATTTTTTTTCTAGACCGAAACTCAAGGATATCTGTAGTCTACATGTAGGAATTGAACAAACTATTTGTTTATCCGCGGCCTCACATGCGTCCAGCCAGTATCCAGCAAAGAACCCTGGTCATTTCCAGACAATACCTCAAACATAAACCCATTATAATATTAGAAAATTCAATACAGTAGAGTTAAAGCAGTTTTATTTATAGTTTAATAATGTAGGTGACTATGCCGTGACCTAAAATTTTATATTGTTAAATAAATTAGGCGTAATAAGGAAAGCGTGACACCAACGGACACCAAAGCTTACGTAACTCCTCACGCATTAGTGACATATTGTAATGCAATATTTATGGTCAGCTAGTCTAATAGAAAATAAAGTTATTTGCAATATTTATTAAGTAATAAGTTAATAAGACTCGATACAGTTTTGTAAAAGTTATTGCACCCATTGTAGTGTATTACAAAGTTTATTTACTACTAGTTACATAGGTGTTTGTCCGCGCGAAATTAAAGAAAAAAAATACATGTTACTTGCTGATAAAATAGCTTTAATATTGAAAGGATTTTTGAAATTGGTCCAGTAGATTTTGAGTTATTTCAATACAGCTTAACTTTAGTCCCTATCCCTTTCCACTCTTTTCTTATAAGGAACAGACGGGAGGGAAAATGGATTTGATGGTAGAGGAGTCGCATAGGAAGGGAAAGTATCCTCATTATGTCCGTAAATAGGGTAGGCAACGCATCTGCAATAGCGGATGGCTATGGGTAGTGGTCGCTTGCTCGTTTGCCACCTTATGATAAAAAAACTGTACAAAACACAAATCTTTCCTCGTTATTATGTCAATATTTTGTCTGAGAAACGTCTTGTTAATACAATTGATCAAATCTTATTTCAAGTTGTTACATATGACAAACAGTTACTTCTTCGTCTGACAAATTATAGAAAATTGATGATTATTAAACAGATATTTTCTTGCATGTAACGTTACATATAACCAGTCAGTCATACTATGACATAATCAAAGTATTTCAATCGTAATAAAGCAACGGCGCTTGTTATGTTATTGTATTGTTCAACAAGACAAAGAATCATTCACACGTCATTTTTATCTACTTTTAATGACTGGAAGACTTGAAAATGATTAAAAAATATTAGAAAACAACATGAGATTACCTTATAGATAGTAGAGAAGATTTTATAAGGCCTAATAAATTGTAAAGCAATTTTAAAATGCTAAGTAGTTAGGGTTGACTCAAGCACTAAATAAAAAAAAATTGACGTCATTTACAAAAGTAAAAAAAAATACTCTTTATGTTTTCTATAAAGGTAAGAGAAAACTGAAAGCAAAACATTGTCTAAATAGTACTGAAAGAAGTGTCTGCTATGAATCTATTGGCTTAAAATATTCAAGATTTTCTATTTTACTAAAAATGAATATTTTCTTCCTAAAAAAGTTAATAGATATTTCCAAATTCGATATAATTTTTCGTAGTATTCAGCGTGCTTGCAGTAGCCCACCACTGTCCGCAGTCTCATATAAATGCACGGAGACGTTTCACTCGCTACATTCAATACATTGACTTCTAATCGCGTCATACATTTTTTCCGTTTAATTTTGAAGTACCAAACTCGATTTGTGTTTTGATTTTTGGATTTTTTTAATAGTGTTTTTGTGATATTTTTTTTAAAATGACCTTTAAGGTAAGCTATTTAAATTGCTAATTATTAAAATAAATTGATTTATGACATATTAGTTGTTGCTCGCGACTTCGTCCGCGTGAAATTAAATAAAAACACCTATGTTACACACTGATAACGTAGCTTTTTATTGATCAAGATTTTTTGAAATCGGCCATTTAGTTTTTGAGTTATTTCAATACTTACAAAAATACAAATCTTCCCTCTTAATAATATTAGCATAAATTAAACGGCTTAAGCTTTTAACAATATTGTAAGCCCTATCCTGTTTTGCATGTGATCAGTTTTTTTTTTATTCAAGAGAGATTTCAGCGTATAAATAAGTGACACTAATAAGTGTGGTGATGTGCGTAAATCGTATATCGGTTCCTGTTCTATGTGTTGTTGTTAACAACTACTAATTACATTTATTTACATACGGAAAGATAACAACTTCCTTTGTGGCGGTGGTGCGAGTCGATTGAAAGTTGTCAAGTGAAAATATATAACCTAGGAAGTTATTTTCCCCCCCAAAATGTTTCCCATCAGAGATTATATAACTTATTGTGTTGAAGGAAGTGTAATTCATTAAAAAAGTTAATACTTTATTTTTTTAATCATTCGTCATAAACCGCTTACCTCCAACAAAATCATGGTCATTGTAAACGTTTTTTTTTAAACTATTTTTTCCTTCTATAACTCTTTCATAATAACATATCTAAACAGATGTATTTATTTTATTTCAGCTCGCATTATTAGTGTTGTTCGCGACGTGCGCTCACGGCCGCCTCTTCACATACTACCGGCCAGCGGACCTGCACCCGGAGCCGGCTCTCGTCCACGAGGAGCCTCAGCTTGTGTTTGACCATCATCACATATCCGAAGACGAACATGTAGATTATTATGTAAGCATCTAAAATGATTTAGCTTATGCTGATGATTAATTTATTGTTTTACAAAGATTTAGACTCAGGGTTCACTTACTCACTCAGGGTTGTGTAAAGGTTACTTTCAAAATTCCTTTGAATATTCGTTTAGAATATTTTGAACGACCAGTCAAGACAAAGTCGTTGAACTGTATGAACTAAGAGGTTAGTTCACATAAGGTTCCCCAGCTGGTTACGCTCCGATTGCGCTTTCGTTCGATCACTTTCTTTGATACAACCTTTACGGTTACTGGCGACTTCTATATTTAGGCCTCTATCTTTTTTCTCAATGAATTGATTTTGTTTTATTTTGATCACAAAATTAACTTATGAAAATGTGATCTTTAAACAAAAATATTATTAACTTATGCTTTAAGTTTATAACTTTCATAACTTGCAGCCATATTAACGAAGCTACATTATTACTTAAAGTGTATACAAAATGTCTCTTACATCCAACTATAGTTTCAGTTGCGGCTTTCTCTTTAATTGCTCCAAACAATAGTTAAACGTTTCCACTGAGCATCGTGTTGTACAGCAAGGTGCAAGTTAAAAGGCTCTTTTTATCTCTTTGTGACGAAAGGATTTCTCACAGACGAGGTTGCTCTTCCTGTGAAATATACCGTCGGTTGAAATGTTACGTACAATTTCAAGTTTGGTACAAATATAAGCGGAGTCAGATTTTAAGAAACGCTTCTCTTTACTTGTATACCAATGTATGTATACCATGTATACCAAAAACGCGCTATAGGTATAACTTAAAACAAAAGTTAAAGTTAAAATGCAACAATCAGATTCTATTTAAAATTATAGGCTCTTGTTTGTTGTAATATTATTAAAACTTAGGTAATATTGCCCGCTCTCAGTTGTTCACTTGATAACAGCGTGGCGAAGGAAATGCCGTTGCGTAAGCGCACGTAAGTGTTTTTACCGTACATTGGGAGCGACGAAGCGCTTGGCGTTTCTAAAGAAATTTGTGTTCTGTCACTTCCTTAAAACATTGCCAATTATGTTTTTACGCTTCGTTTACTCTATCAGTTCAATTTAGAACATGATTTTATACATTTTCTCATAATGTTAAAGAGACAAAAGAAAATGCAGAATAGATTTCAAACAATTTAATTAATGTTTAGTGTTATAACGAAAGTTATGATCATCATTTTTAACCTACGTGCAGCTAGAAATAAACAACTTTAAATTGTCTTGTTAAAATGAAGGTTATTGCCATATTATGACAAATGTAATAAATTACCTTATTTATAATATTACAGGCGTATCCAAAGTACGAATTCAAATATGGCGTCAATGACTTCCATACGGGCGACATAAAGACACATCACGAGAGCCGAGACGGTGACGTCGTCAAAGGTAAATGATAATTTATTCTTCTTTTTAAATCTCATGCTCAAATCATTGAGGCAAAGCTAACCATGGACCATGAACAAATACCGGTGCAGTAAAAACGTCACCAAATAATCAACCAAGCAAGTTCCGGTTGTAATATTTATTTGGTGGAAAATGTCTTATACTTGAGAAATGTAAACTAAATGCAATTACTACAAAATAGCGAGATAACTTTGATATGAAATACTTCGTGGTTATTGTTCGGGACTACTAAAATAATAATTACCGGCTCACTATACATCCCCTGGAGGACAAAAACCTGTTACACCGACCCTACGGGAGTAGGATAAGGAGAACGATGATGTTGATGAAGATATACGTCCCCACTGATGGGCTCGGAGCTTATGCTAAGTTAGGAGTTACTAGATAGTGAAAATAATACAAATCTTATGATCTATTCATTATTATTTAATAACTTTACAGGGCAGTACACAGTAGTGGAACCAGACGGCTCAATTAGGACAGTTGATTACACCGCCGACAAACACAATGGTTTCAACGCAGTGGTACACAGGACCGCACCAATAACCCCCCACGAAGCAGCCCATTATAAATTTGTTGAACATTAGATTTATGTTTGTTAATAATTTGGAAAGATTTCAACGTTTATTATGAGTATCTTGTATGTTTCTTATTTATTTCTGTTATAACATAATTTATGTTATAGTGTTAAGTTGAAATGTTTGTATTCGGAGTTAATTCCGATCTCGTTTTTGTTATTTCTTGGTTTATTTATTGTTGTTTTCACGCGTGGTACCTGACCTATCGTTAGTTGTGTTACTATTAAGTCATTATTTTAGTGTAAGTCGCTATTATTATTATATTATAATGTTGTATTTTAAATGTTAATAAAATAAATTGAAGTTTTAAATATGTCTAATTTATTTTTACCTCTGCTGTACGAATTTGTACATACTAAAATACTACGTCGTATAAAATCTGTATGAGTAGCAGATACGATCAATTTAATAGAAAGATTATCTTACTTCTTACTAATATTATAAATAGTAGTAAAAAATAGCGAAAGTATAGATGGATGGATGTTTATTAGAGTTTGTAGCCTAAATGGCTGAAAGACGCTGGCGAAAACTAGTAGTATATACTTACAGTAAAACAAATGTTCTCTAGAGTTCTAATGTTTTGGCAATGGATAGACGTGAAAAGTAGCATATAAAAAATAGAGTAATAAATACCCATTGCGCAAAACATGTGCCAACTTACCGTCAGCGCACCTCAGCGGATGTTTTCAGAACTAATAAATACTTAACATGTTTTCCACAGTTTAAGTTCTCACTATTGTCACAGATGGCGCTATCCTCAGTTAGCTTTTGTATAACATACGACATATCTTTATTTAACACTGTAAAGTAGAAAAATCATATTAAATAAATTGGTGTCATATTTACACTCTTCTTTAAAAATCCAAACAATGTTTTAATTGACATATTATAATCAAAAACAATCATGTTGCGATGCTAAATTTTCGAGTTTGACCAATATTCTCGGGTGACACAAAACCAGCCACTTTTCGTTTCTTTTTCTTAAAATGTATCTTTAACATAAATGAATTATACGAGATGACTTTCAGATTACTTTTTGTTTACTACAAATTTCATTATTTGCTATTTGGAATGTATAGAATACATTATGTTTCCAAACTATTGCGAAGTAACATCAGTGTAATTGTAACGTATCGGTATCAGAGTGAACAGCCGCTTGTGTGATTTTAGCAACCATTGCACAAGCATGTCAATGTCCGAGTTCACTCCATTTAACGCCCTAGTTTTCATGGGAACCGAATCAGTTCCTAAATGCTTAACTTTAACTAAACCATCTTCAAATAAAGAAAACAAACTCTAGTAGCGAAGAACGAACGAACGGCTTACTTTGAGAAATGTTGTAAGTTAGGGGTTATTAAAACCTAAATGTATGTAACATGTAACAAGAAAAGGGCAGAATATCAGTAATAACAACTATAAATATAAATTTTGAGAGCAACAACGGTAAAGATAGGTCTCGGAAAAGATGGATGGATTGCGTAGAAGGTAATTAAGCAGAGAGTGAGACAGGAATGTCAATTGATCTTTTTGAGCCAAAAGCTCTCTTTGAGTTTCCTAAAAAAATTACTAACCGTGGTCATACATTAAGCGAATTTTTAATAATAAAACTAAAACTATAACGGGAAAAGCATAAAATTTCCACTAACACTATTTACGCTTTCGTAAAGAAAATATCTCCACGAATAATCAAGGAAGTGTTCTATAATAATCTAGGCTACATGAAGGCTCACAGAAATCCCGCACATGCTAAGAATGTAATCTGCATGTGCTGGGTCATTCAGCCGTGCGAAACTTTTCTCAATTATCCGCTGTGCTGTGCGAGGAAACTTCGTTTTCGGAAGCTAGCCCCGCCTACCAAGGCTGTCGCTCACTACTGAATAAGGCCAGTTATAAATGCATGTGAACCCCCTATTGTAGTACTCAGGGTTTAGACACAAAGTAAGCCAGTCGTATCTTAAGATCCTATTTAATTTTTGTGCTATAATGTGGAGATATCAATGTTTGCTTTTAGTGATATTGCAAGTTGTATTTGCTAGACCGAAGATAAATTTAGGCTTCGAACATGGCTATAATGATTATTACGTAAGTATGTTTATGGTATATTCACATCAACTTTATGAGGTTGTAAGAACATCATTATTTGATTTGTACACAATTTTATAACTGTAGTATATTGGTTGTCATATTTTTCATAGTAGCAATTCTATAAATAAATTTTGCTAAAGACGACCTTAACATTAGATAATTATAAACAAGAGTTTTTAATCTAAACCAGAAAATAAATGTTGCGCTAAGTGTGTGTTGTGCGGCTTTAGACATTAATTTAGTAAAAATATATTAACATTAATATGAAACTTCGACAGTTCCTCAATCTAATATAAAACGTTACCTAAACAGCGGTTTAAACGCAGCATGTTTGATGAATTGTCGCATGTTCTACCTTACCTTCTTAATCTACGCCGGCAAAGTATGTACGTATATAGGAGGCATATGTAGCGAAATCAATTATGATTGTATGAAAACATCAAAAACTTTTTAACGTCAAGTTTTTAAAGAAAAAAGCATGTGAAATTATTAATTCAATACCACACGTTTCCTTCAATTCCTATTTATACAATGGAGTGCCGTAACTTCCCATGCCTTGTATTGACGTTACGTCTTTTCATTTCTGTTACATAATGTAATGAGCATTTATATGTCTTTTATGCTGTTTACAAACATGTCTGACGAGGTTTTAACCCACATATCCTAATGCAAATGCAACACAGGTTATATTAGTGTTTAAAATCTTATTAAAATATTGAAGACTTAAGTACCTACATATCTGATTATCCTACTATGGCATTGGGAGTTCTTACTCTCTCCTAGAAGTCATTTTAAAAATAAATGACGAAAATACGAAAAAAAACTAAATTCTTTCGCATTTTCGTAGAGGGCTACGAACTAAGAACAGGGGTTCTTTGTAGTTTAATGGCAATTTTGCTCAGAATCGCTTATTTATTATCAAAAAATCAAGGTTACGTAAAGTTTATCTTAATGAGAGATAAAACTATTTTCAGGAACGTCCACGATATGCTTTTACATATGGAGTCGCGGACCATTCGACGGGCGATGTGAAGTCACAACATGAAAGTCGAGATGGAGATGTTGTCAAGGGTTTGTTTCCGTCATACTAATCATACTGTCTTACTAATGTTATAAATGCGAAAGTTTAGATGGATGGATGGATGTTCGTTAGAGTTTGTACCCTTAACGGCTGAACGGATGTCGATGAAATTTGGCATAAATGTGAAAGTGGGCATGATGATAGTGAGGAAGAACACATAGGCTGCTCATTTTTTTTTAATTTGTCGGACTGAGTCGCAGGCGAAAGCTAGTGTTTAATAACATGTAAGATAATGAAGAATAGTGGCGTGGTAGTAGGTTAAAATGTATATATCAATTATCTCCTTTTTATGCATATTTATGAGGTGTTGCTGCACCACATTGTAATATGATCAATAAATGTTGCCATGAGAGTGTATTCCACACTTTACAATACTCAGAGTATAGTGCAAGTAACACACAAATGTCGTCAATGATCCTGAAGTTGTAAGTATTAAACAGTTTTTTTTATTTTCCAGGACAATATTCTTTAGTGGAGCCAGACGGTTCTATACGCACAGTGGACTATACAGCGGACCCTGTGCACGGCTTCAACGCTGTGGTATCCAAAATAGGGCCGAGTGTGCACGCAGCGCCGGTTACACCGATCCCTCCAGTTCCGGTTCAACCCATTATAGGCGTTTTACCCAAACCAGTGCAAGTTGTGCCTAAGCAAATCATATATGCATCTCCAGCACCATACGGTAAGATTTTTATGATAGAAATTTGTGGTAATTAGATTATAGAAGAAGTAAGATATCGACTTTATGACGGACAATGAACATTTAAGATATAAAAAGTATTTTCATGGTTGACATGGTCTAAGGAACTCACGTCTTTATATCCAGTAGCAATGAACCATCAAGGTTTTAACATAATTCATTCAATCATGACTCGGAACAAAAACCTAAAGCTTTGTTAAATACAGTATCATTGTTATAATCATCGCCCAGAGTTGGATTATCATACTTACAGTCGCACTAAGAGCGGCCGCACACCTTTGACTAAAAAATCACAAAACTGTGGTACGATCATCGATTGTTCCGCAATTCAACTGTTTAAAGCTAAAGAATCAAAGTGCGACTAAACAGTTCCGCGATAGTTAGAATTATTTTGTGGTCATTTAGGGCGAAGCTCTCTCAATCTAAATTTACACTGTCTTCTATATATCACTACGTTTGTAGCGGTTTATATTTAAAATATGTTTTATATTTAAGAGTGGTAGTGACCGCTTTAACATCTTAGCACGAATGGGCCGGCACGTCCGATGTAATACCACGACCACACAGAAGATAGGCGTGAAATGGAAGCAATCCCGTGTTTCTTCTGATGAGTGTGGTGTCGGAGGCCTAATTTAAGTCCCCTTCTCTTGCCACCCTTTTCTTATAAGTAGAGGATGGGAAGGGGAAGTGGATTTGACGGCGGAGGAGATGCATAGGAAGGGACAATATCCTCTTTATGTGCGTCTCCTCCTCCGTCAAATAAGGGTAGGCAACGCATCTGCAATTGAGGATGTCTATGGGCAGCGGACGCTTCACCATTGTGGCGGATTCAGGTGGCCGGTTGTTCCTTTGCCACCTTATGTTATAAAAAAAATCCAATGGCCAAGGAAAGACTTAATGAAGCTGTTTTGTTAATAAAGTTGTTGCGGCGAAATATTGTTCAGTTTTATCACGTACTATGTTCAGTAAAGTCCCATAGACTTCGTTAAGAAATAAAAACAATGTGTAAAACAGATAAAACAGCGTCAGTACGGGTATGCCTAATTAGTGGTGGATAACGAATCGTAACTCCATTGTGTTGGGCGCACCATTGTTTATTCTTTGCGAAAGGAATTCACCTTTTGTTTTGTTTTTCAGCTTTTCCCAAGGTCGAGGGGCCGCACTATCCAGAATATGACGAATTTGTACTCGACGGACCGTATCAATTGTCATCTAAGAATTTTTATTAGGTTCCCATATTCATGTTACATATTGTTATAATGAAAAAAGGTATTGTTAGATGGTTACGTGTGAACGACGTAATGCTTTTTTAATAAGAATTGAGAATGCTCTATTAAATCAACTTTGTTGTTAATTTTTAATGAAACAATTTTGTCTTTTAGCAATAAGATAAAATATATTGTTATTTCTAAATGAAAATTAAATTAATTAATAAAGATAACTATTTTTTTAAAAACTCTCATATAAATCTCAACCATTAAAAATATTTATATTTATAAAGAGCCGAAATATGTTTTAGAAATTGAATTATTTTTTTAAACACAAATGATTACGGTCAGTCGCAATGTCTTTAGAAATGTATTAAGAGCACCCTGGAGATATTGTTTGTTTTAGTAAATAATATGGGGTCTAAATTGATTGATGAATGTAGGTCAATAAAGTGTAATTAAGTGAATTGTATAAATATGAAAAATACATGTTTAGAAGGCTTTTTATATTAAATTCAGATTTTTATTTAAATTCTAGGTCATCTCCTTGTTTCCTGATTCAATCGCAAATTTGTCTATCTTGATAAACCGCTTGTTTTTAAGGTAAGAGATCAAATAATGTATTAGCTCTTGAACTTAGTCCACGATTCTGTTCCGTTAACGCCTGTGATTTATAAATAGCAGCATGTTAGTATAGGTATGTCATGAAATTTGCTACATAGTTTTTTACAGTATTTTAAAAATAGTCAGTGAAGGCGTCTAATCAATAGAGGTTTACCATAGATTTAACACATATATGATGACTGAAAAGGTTAACAATTTCTAAGTAGATCGAGAGGTTCTAAACCAAATCAAAGCTTTAACTTAATCAACAATAAACGTTAATTACGAGTATAAAAGACGGTTTTAAATATTTTATAGTACAGTTTGATATACCTCTATTGCACCATTTATGTAAATAGTAAAAATATCGGCGCTAAAGATTTATAACTTCAATGTTTACAAACATCACAGCAAGGTTAGTGCCACTGGCATTAGGCTATAAAGAATTTATAATTAGTCGTTTAGATTTATGAGAAAAATATTTAAAACTCAAATGGTAAATGGCCTTGACATTACAAATCAACAAAAACGTGATTCCATGCAGACACGTTTTGTAGCAGTAAGAAAAATGACACTGCGTTCTTCCAAACTATTTCCATGTTAAATTTCATACAATTCAACAAACCCTTCAGTAGTTTCATGTAAGTAGATATCTATCAAAACTTACTCTTTCATAATAGTATGATTATTGCCTATATTTTCTTCCAAGTTAATCATAATTCATAACAGGTGTCAGTTAAAACAACCCGATTGTTTATTCTCAGACGTTTCCGTATGCACCCTTTATTGCGCCTCGAGATACTAAATGCAAATTGGAATTTGATTTCACTATAAAATCAAGTAATAAATTACAATACAAGAAAAGTTAATATTGTAAAAAAATGAACAGATTTTGATGACTCAAATTGTAAACATTTAAAATGAAAGTAGAAGTTTATTATTGAATTTCAATAATATTAAAAAGTCCAAATTCAAAGTTTCTCACCGTTATCAATATGTCCTTATGTATAAGAAACTCAAAATGATTATTTCGACCTTTCGTTTCTTGATTATTAATTTCAATTTTTAAAGAACGCATTCACTTTAACATTTAAACAAATGTTAATATTTATCAAGAACCAATAAAATAGTACGAATGTCCTTAATCTTTACAATAATGTATGAGGTCGCTAAAAATCGCTACCAAAGTGTTGTTGCACTTCTTGACCAATATTAAAAGAAATAACACAAGTATCACAATGAGCTCAACATAAAAATATTAACACCTATAAAGATATTGAACTTCTAACTATACCGCTGGAAAATGTTTTCAACTAAGAATCATCTTATTTAAATATTATAAATGTGAAGGTTTAAATGGATGGATGTTTGTTAGAGTTTGTAGCCTAAACGGTTTAATGGATCTCGATGAAATTTCGCACAGATATAGAGGATAGTCTGGAAGAACACATAGGCTATTCACTTTTGTTTTTTAATTTTACGCGAACGAACACACGGTCGGGAGCCAGTAATTATGTACATCAAAGGAGGTTACAAACAGGATATCGCTCAAAGAGATAAAAGAAGGGGGGTTTTTAAATCCTCTTTATTTTTTCGTATCGTATCGTGACCGCTATTCATAGGCATTTGTAATCCCGTCATAATTTCTAGAATTTAGTATCTAACATCATTACCACGTTAGAATTAGTCTAGCGTATACCAATGTCATGTTCACTATGTTATCTAATAAAATTAACATTATACAAATTAACAATTATAAGTTCAAGATCATCTAATAATTCACAACGCGAAAGAGACACTGACGCATACACGGAGATGAGTACTCCATTCGTTCCGGATTCAACATAGTCACGATTTATTTATGAATGTCGAATTCCTCAGAGGCGATGGCCGATTAATCACCATACGAACGTTAAGGTTAGCTAAATAGATAACTATTCTATTTGTTTTTCACAACTGTACTTGAAAATATAATTTTATGGAAGCAGTAAATGAGAGCTATCTGTACACTGGACATGATCACAACCAACCAACAATGTCAATCTAGTCAAAGACATATCAGAACATAAGAAGGTATAAAGTGTGGCATGAAAATAACAGAGAGCTCCTATATTATAATTTCTAACATATCGTTAGACAAAACACAACCGTATAATAGGGAAGTAGAAGGTCTATTATCTAATGTCAAATTAACGCTTGTTAGTGTTGTAGTCACAAGGATGTTTAGTCCGGTGATAGGCGCTGCCATCGGATGGTTCTGTCAGTTTAACTCTTAATTACCTGATGTTTTAAATTTTTTATTGGGGCTATAAATCGCATTGGGCACCTACAATTTTATTTTAATATTAGGTTGTTTACCTTTGACTGATAATCTTCAAGTTAGAAAACAAAAAGGAGCATTTCAAGAAAATATGTAAATATCGTTTTGATTTTTTTTTTACTATATTTCCCCACTAGTAACATACATAGTAAAGGGTACACTTATACGTTTTGTAAATCGATTAAAAAAAATCAAGCTTTTAGAAATAGGGTTTGGTACAGAAAGAGCGAGCTATCATAATTTAGTTTAACTTACTACTGAGGTCAGACATCTTGGTTTATAAATATCTCTTAATGAGTCAATTACAATTGAGATGTTACGTAATTTATTTTGAAACAACTAGAACCGGTACTAGGCTTTTTGTTGGCAGTAAAAGTTAAGTGTAACTTTATAAAACGAGTAGAGTGTCAATAGTTCATTAGTTCTACTATCTTGTTAGTCTACTGATGAAATTAAGAATAAAAAAATGAATAAATCTAAAGAGACCATTGATATAGATCTGACGAAGCGCTACTAAGTCACGTCAATGAAGCAACATTGTATGAAAGCTTAGCTACGCCAATTGCAATCAATGCTCGAGGCATTATTTGACGAGTGACATTAAAAAGTTATGGGAACCCGAAGACCTTTCGGTATGTTTGCAATGACATGCATCGATAATTCGTCATACTCATCATTGTATAATTGTTAGCTCGAGTGTACACCGAAATAAAGGAAATATTTATGTTAACTTATGCTATAAACTAAGGTCAATAAACAATGTAAGCGCTTATACGAGTACAAACGACGTAACTCGGAAGAATCAGTCTTAACGCCTGTCGGAAAATTCTCTGCAATATTGCTTTATGAAACGTGCTGTAGCTCATTAGTAAAGCGTTATCTATTTTATTTATCGAAATCCGTTTCGAAATCCTTGTCATAAATATTTTCTAGTAGGCATATTAGCAACTAGATTTAATTCTATACATTGTTTGTATAGTTTGTGTGAACCATCGTTAGGTTAAATCTAGGCTGGTAAGGCAGGTAACCCTGCATGACATAATAAACCCAGTATTTATGTTATGTTAGATAAAATTCACTTCCTAACTCTTTGTTTACTTCCTCAAAATAGCTTTGATTCCTTTCTAATAATAACCAACTTTAAGTTGATTATAAAAGTATGTTTGTATCGAACTCGCATGTTCGAAAATCTCATACAAAATCCCTTATAATGCAAGACACTAAAATGTAAGCTTATAATTTCTAGAGCAAGTACAAATACGTACATAATGATCTGTAAGTATACATAAAGTGTTCATTGACTGTAAACACGTCTGTTAAAAGTTGTTAATAGCCTTTCGAAATTACCAAATAATTGTAAAGTACTTTCAGACGGAAAAAAAGTGAGCAACAAAATTATAGTATTGAGTGTCGGGTGCGATCACTAGTGCGGATAATTGCCGCTGACTGATCCGAGTTAACTGTAGCAATTACGATGATACTGTACGATCAAGAACTGGAGCCGACAATTACCTTTTGTTGCACTTTTAATGTTATCTGGAAGTGAAGGTACGGACGGGTTCGGAACAAAGTAAATTATTATTTATACGCTTTACATCTGTTGTGATTCTTTATTATTCGTTGTGCAGGAAGGTGCAAATTATTCGCACTTGATGTCTAAACGATTTTATAGAGAGCTGTTGCTCCCGACTTTGTCGGCGTGAAACTTCAAACAATAAAAAACATAGCATATTTACAGTGATACCGCAGATTTTCAATGGCGAAAGAATTTTTGAAATCGGCTCAGTAATTTTTGAGTTATTTCAATACATACAATAATCCAGAAATACAAGTCTTTCCTTTTGTAATATAAGTATAGATTAAATTGTCTTACAGTAATTGTAATTCCGCTTTATAACGCGTAGAAACGTTTTTCAGCATGTTTCTTATGTTAGATGATTGGAAAATTGGTCTGGCTAAAACTTTTTAATCATATACGGAGTAGATTCCTCGTAAGATTCACTGCATTCAGAACATTTTCTGATCTACTGTTGTTATTAGTATGTTTTACATTTTTCAAATGTGCAAGTTTCCTCACAAAATTACTATTTAATTTTTTTATATGCTTTTAAAACATCTTACATCGCAATAAAAATATTTATTACCGCTTTTGACTAAATTCAGTTTTCTTATATGAAACATAAATCGTTAGCGCTAACTAATGTAATGTCGCAAAACTTTTCAGA